GATCATAACACTCCTCTGACGTGATCACACCTGGCCCCTGTATCCCACTGCATTCGGGATCAACTGTGCAGTCCTCATAACCCCTACAGCCTCCTCTGCCCACCTCCCTAGCCTCCCAGTCCTCCGTTCTCCCTGAGCCTGCAGTGCAGCCTCACTGACCCTTTCTAGTTCCTTGGACATTCTTTCCTACCACGGGACCTTTGCCTATGGATCTCCCCTACTCTGGCACACCTGAAAGCTTTGCCTCACTCTTCCTCTTCCCATGATCAGTGCTACTCACCTTTGAGATGTCAGCAGAAATGTCTTGTCCCCAGAGAGGCCTTTATGGACACAGCAATATAAAATGCATGTCCTTTGTCCTCTCAAGGAACCCTGACCTTTCTCTATATAGAAGTTTATAGAATTATAAAGATCTATTTTTGACTCTGCATTTAGTGTCTGTCTCTCCCCAGGATGGAGACTGAGCTTGCACTGTTTGTTACTTACCACAGGTCCCTAGCCCTGCCTTGCCCTCAGGAGCCTTGTGATGCATGTTTGTTGAAAGCAACCAAGCAGCCAGCCAGTGCCAGTGGTCAGAGAAAGCTGTAGAAGGGAAAGGTAGGAGGTTAGGCATGTGGGCCCTGCTGTGAGCTGGCTGCCCAGGGCAGCTCTGAACTGCAAAGTGACTACAGGCTCCCTGCTGATTGCCAACAGGCAGGTAGCTCCTGACACACCCATGTGACGTATGGTGCCTCTGTGACATACCCAGATGTCCCCCAAAGCCCTTCCAGTGTACTACCAAACATCTAAGGAAGATAGCAGCCTCCAGTGGGCCACAGAGAGCTGTGGGGGCTGGGATACGGGGCCAACATGGCCTATAGCTCTGAGTTTCCACCTGTATAATAAAACTATGAGTAACAGTTAACATTGTCTGGGCTGGGGACAATTATCTCGTTGCATACTCAGTGAAGCACTGGGAACAATACTCAGTAAACCAGAGTTGGTGTTCACCCTGCCACCCTGAGTGCCCACTCCAGGTTGCAGTAGGGAGGGCTCAGCTGGGGAAGAGGCTTTCCCCAACCTGGACCTCCAAGGTCTGCTCTTCCTCACTCTGGGGATGTTAGGCGAGCCCCTGTGTGGTCTCAGTTTTTGCTTTCTGTGAAGGAGGCAGATTATACAGTTTACTGGTTATGCAACTTACTGATTATGCAACTCCCTGGAAACGGGTGATGATCATGAAGGAGAGAGGACAGTGGTGGCCCTGGGTCAGGCAGCAGCAGGGTGTGGTGACCTGTCGGCCATCTGCTCCCCCCAGGGATTGTGGGGTGGCAAAGGAAGGTGAAAGGGGGGGGGTGCTACTAGATACCGTGGAATAAAAGAAACAACAGTAAGGAGGAGGGACCGAGGGGAGAGGAGCAGCCGTCGAGGTGTCAGCCGGACCTTATACGGAGCGGGGTAAATAGCCGTGCTGTGAGGCACGTGGGCAGTGGGTGCTTCCAGGGCGACAGAGACCATGGAGCTGGGAGAACAGTCCCCGACCCAGTCACCTTCCCCAGGAGGACACGGGCTGCACCAGGAAGAAACACCACGGCTCCCCGGCAGGCGTGTGGAGAAGGTGCAGCCGTCGTGGGTCGGGTCGTGGTGAGATTACTTCTGAGCAGGGAGGGTGTGTGTGGCCAGCCCACGGTACCTTTAGGGGTTGGCTGCAGTTTCTCCCCGCTCCCAGGCCCTAGTCAGGGAACTTCAAAGTCAAGGTGGGGGCGGGTCCTGGGAGGTCGTCTAGTGTGACCCCCAGCTCGGAGGCATGACCGGCCCCATGGAGGAGCCCAGGGCCTTTGCACTGCTCAGCACGGCTTCTTTCCTTCCATGGAGGGGACAGGGACCTAGAAAATGAGTTTTCCCCCAAAATCTGAGAAACCCAGGTCTGTGCCCACCGTCACCCACTAACACTCATGGTGTCATCCAATGAGAGGCCAGCGAAGGGGAGGGGCCGTGTGTATCATGCCTCCTTTTGTTCCTCTCTCGGTGGCCCTGCCACAAAGTGGCTCCAATAGCCAGATGAGGACACAAGTACTCTACAGGCTGCTCCCCTAGGTGCCCAGGGGTTGCGGGACTCACCTTTTAAAAGCATCCAGTGGCCGAACTGCCTCCTCCCTCAGCCACTGGTTTTTGCATTCTAAGCATTTCCTGGAGAGCTGGTAAAGAATGCTGATCCCCAGGCCTTGCCCCCGGATGTTCTAACTCCTGGATCTGGGGTGGGGTCCAGGGACCTACATTTTAACAAACTGCAACTCTCATGCAAGGTCCACAGAACACTTGCTGGAAGACGCTGGATTAGAGCCTGCCCAGACGTCCTCCCCGGGATCCCTACCCCGTGGCCAGTATGAGTTCATTCAGTGCTTTCTGTTCTGCAAGCTTGTGTTTCCGCCTGGCTGCTCCTCCCAGCCAGCCCTTGGTCTCGGGCCCTTTGCTGGTTACTGGAGCTTGTATCTGCAGCCCTGAGGACGAGTGTGCGAGCCTGCTGCATGTCACCTGAGGGGGAGAGGGCTGGAGACAAGACCGTTGTGCTTGACAGAGCAGGTCCCACCCTCCCTGGCTGCTGCCTCCTTTTGCCATTTTACCCCACTGTGCCCGGGCCTCGGCGCCCACCCCACCTCTGGTCAGGGGCCATCCAGAGTTCAGGGCCAGAGTGAACGTGAGAGGCTCTGGGAGGGAAGCGGGGACCAGGCAGGAGGACCTCAGTCCGGGGCTCTCAGCGGCTGAGTGGTGGAGCAGCCATATGGATGGGGAGCAGCTGGGGGCCAGGCCGGAGAGCCACGGGCTGTCCCAGGTCCTCCGAGAGGTCAGGCCCTCAGTCAGCCCCTCAGTCAGCTTTGGACAGCCGGGCCCACTACCTCCAACTTGGCCTCAAGAAGGGGCTCCCCAGGGTGGGTGGCCGCCCTCCACTCGGCGTCAGGCCGCCCGTGCACGGTCCCCTCACCTGCCGTCACCTCATCTCCGTCCTTCCCCTCCCTCCTCTGCCTTTCCCTCCTCCCCTTGTCTCCCTGGCCCCCTCCCCCTCTTTTTACTTAGGGTTTCCTCTTCACTCTTTCTCTCTTTCCTTCTGTTCCTTTTCCTCTTGTCTCTTCGTCTTCTGGTTCTCTGTCTGGGCCCCCATACTCCCTGGCCCTGGCTCTGAGCCCTGTGCCATGTGGCCCGCTGGATCCCTCCCCCAGGCAACTTCCTGGGTAGCCCAGGGGTGCACAGTGCCTCTCCCTTGCCTGGGCTCTGGGGACCCGCAGAGGTGGGCCCTGTGGCGCCACCCTTGGATCTCACATTCCAGCTGGGGCAAGTGTGTGGGGTAACAAGGCCACTGAGAAATCAGTGTGGCCCCTACCCTGGCTGGACTAGGCTCGGCCAGCAGGTCTCCATCTCGACGCACAGACATGGCTACTGTTGGCTCTCACGCTTCGGCCAGCCTGCTGGCTCAGCCTCCCAGCTCGTCTCTTAAGGCAGATGAGCAGACAGAAGCAGGGCTCAAGTCACCCCCGTGGGAGGGAGAGCCTGTGGCTCAGATGGTTGTGATCTTGCCCCTGGACAGGGGAGAAGGAGGAAGGGCGCAGCTCCCTCAGCCTTCCCTCTCTCACTGGAATCCCTTGGTGCTGCTCTCTCTAGTTCCCCCAGAAAAAGGTGGAGAAGGCAGAGCCCACAGAGCCCTGCACCTCCGGCCACCCCGTGCTCTCTCCTGACAGTTGATGCACAGTCAGGTCTCTGGGGTCACGGAGGAACTGGAGCCTGCTCAGCACATGCTTCACCCCACATGCTGCCACTCTGCAGGTGGCTTCTGAGCCATCGATGGCAGCAGTGGGCTCTGGGTCACACTGGGCTTGGGGTGGGCACAATGGAGGACAAGGCAGATGTGAGCAGGTGATTATTGCCCAGGCCAGGAGGCTGCATCAGAGTCTGCCAGGGAACTGCAGGAGCAGAGGTGGCGAGGAGCCAGCTGCACAGGCCCCACAGGGAGGAGACTGGGATGGGGTGTGGGGCACGGAGGAGAGGGGTTGGCCCCGAGAGCCTGCTGGCACTGCAAGCCCCACTGCTCTGTGCTCTGCTTCCACTGAGGGGGAATACTGCTCAGCGACATGAGGTCTGCACCTTAGCTGTGGGGAGCAGCCAGGGTCCCCCATGCTCCCTCCTCCTCTCACGCTCTGCAGAGAAACGCTCAGAGCACTTCTCCCGAGGGGAGGAGAGCCCTGTGGGGGCAGGGACTCCAACCTCCCCCCTTTTCAGAACAAACTGTGGCTCTGGAAGTTCAAGAGCCAGCCGGAGTCTAGCAGGAATGCCAGGACAGGCACATGGTCACCCTGTCCCCTCCCATGTTAAGTCAGATATGCCGTTTTCTCTTCAGAGGCCCAGCCTCCCCACAGGGCTGGTGAGGGAGGAGCTGTGCCGTGATTCAAGGTTGAGCTTAAGAAGGCCTTTGGGCCTTTCCCAGGCCACTAGGATAAAGGGACAACCGAGGAGACATCAGTCACCTGGAGAACTTAATGGAAAATGACAAACTAGGGAGAAAAACAGGCTCCCAAATCCCTGGGCTCAGCTGATCCTTCTGCCTCAGCCTCCTGAGTAGCTGGGACTACAGGTGAGCATGGCCACACTCTGCACTCATTCTATTTTAAAGCTTTCTTTGTCTCTGAAGAGAAGGAACTTGGAACATGGAGCAGGAAGGTCTGAGCTCAGCCTCCCCTGGTCTCTGGCCTCAGCTAACAGCTCTGGGCCTCTGGTCTTGGCTGTGATATGGAGAAAACAGTCTGTGCCTCACAGGACTGTCACATGAGAGCAGAGAAAATAGGAGAAAACAGGAAAAGCTGTCCTCTTGGGTTAGTCAGGGGGACCCTGAGGTGCGAACAGAGCTAGGAGACCCTGCCTGGCCCTCTCGGCTATCCACAGGGTCCAAGTCACCACCCTGGCCCTCACTCCTCAACCCAAGCAGAGTTGAGGGCCCGGCCTCTCCTCACGAGCCTTCCTTGGCCTGCCCTCAGCTGTGTCGTGGATGAGATGGACTTCTCCAGCATGGAGCTGGACGAGGCCCTCAGGAAGTTCCAGGCTCACATCCGGGTCCAGGGTGAGGCCCAGAAGGTGGAGCGGCTCATAGAAGCCTTCAGGTGAGACCCTTTCCCGGCCCTGCTCTCCTCCCCACCCCTCCAGGGCTTGGGAGGGATGGTGGGGGAGGAGAAGGGGTGTGATTCAGGCCTGAGAAATGCTAGGGCCAGTTGAGGGAGCCGGGGAGAAGTCTGGTAGCAATGGGCTGGAGAGAAAGGAGCCAAGGAAAGAGAGGAACGGAATCCCCCAACCTCTCCAAGCTGGAGGCCACACAGGGCCCTCTGGGAGATGCTCCTCACTCATTGGCTCTGACCGGCACCTCTGCACACAGCATCTCTGTGAGACTGGTATGGGCACCACTACAGGAATCGAGGGAGGTGATGCCAAGGTACAGGGCAGACATTGTTGGAGTCTGAGAAGCTCACGGTTCCCTTTGTGTCCTCCACAGCCAGCGCTACTGCATGTGCAACCCTGAGGTGGTGCAGCAGTTCCACAACCCCGATACCATCTTCATCCTGGCCTTCGCCATCATCCTCCTCAACACCGACATGTACAGTCCCAACATTAAGCCGGACAGGAAGATGATGCTTGAGGACTTTATCCGAAACCTGCGAGGTGAGCAGGTGGGGCTGGGGTAGAAGGGGCTTGGTCGTTGTTCCGGGCCTGTCCTGCTCCATGTGAAGTCTGAATCTGAGCCTCAGTTATAGATTGCTGCTCGCTCTCGAGGCCTAGCCTTCCACAGTAGGCTGGGAAAGTGGCTTGCTCACCAGGCATCATGGGGATTTCCTGCACTCACAGCCGGGACCCTTGGGCAATACAAATATGCCTCACCGGGTGGCCTCCAGCCCTCAGCACTGCAATGGGTGCTGGGCCGGACCAGCCCTTCCCACTCCACTACTCACAAAGGAAGAACCGGGAGCAGGGCCTTCAGGCCTCAGCTCATTTCATCCAGCCTTGCAGGTAACTTTATGGCATCTGCCAGCCAAGTCCTGTTCTGATGGCACCACCTGACAAGGACCAAAGCTTTTTAAAAAGCAAGTGTTATGTATGCTGGTGGTATCTTGTGGGCATTTTTTTTAAAAGTCAAAATTATATATGCACATAATTTAATAAAATAATTCTACCAGGCTCACTACAGAAAACGAGTCCCTGCCTCTCTCACCACTGTCCTTCTCAGGGGCAAACACTTTCAACTTCAGAGTTCTTTGTTTTTATATTTCTTTATTTTCACAGTGCCAGGGGTGGTTATCCAGAGCTTCACACACGCTAGGTAAATATTCTACCGCTAAATTACATCCCAGGCCAGTTAGTTATTTATTTTGTTTCCTCTAAATCAATAAATAACATGCTTTCGCTTCCTTTTTCTATCTCTTTTTTTTAATTGGTATAAAATACACGCTGTGCAGAGTGTGGAGATGCCTGTGTGATCACACCTCTATCTACAGGTTGATCACTTCCAACATCCCAGAATGCTCTTTGTATTCCATCCCCTCTGATACCCTTGCTGAGGCTTACATTATTCTGCCCTCTGGCACCATTAAGCAGTTTTGCCAATGCTTGAACAGTATACAGATCGAGTTATAGAGTAATATACATTGCTCTCTGGTTTCTTTTATACACTACTACTTGTTAATTCTTTGAAATTATAAGTGTTATCTTTTAATTTCCCATTATAGACTATAAAAATTGAGCTCTTCTTTGTCCACCTTCCCCCAACCCATCCCCACTGAAACTAGTGTTCTTGTTACGAAGGCCGAGTAAACATGACCCGAAGCTGCATCTTGGAGAATGCAGTGGTTACAATTCCTTTCTAGTTCTGCTTTCGTTGGAGTCACTACTTGTCTTCTTTTCCATTTGCTTAGCCCTCTATGTCCCTGCCACCAGTCCATCACTCCCTCTGCCCTGTGTATCAAGTTCCTGTCTGTCCACATGGACCTGGGAGGTACTCAGGAGTTTCATCTTGGAGCTGCCTCTCCTGGATTCTCCAGCTCTGCTCCATCTGGACAGGCCCTGGTCCAGGCCAGTCACACAGCTGTCCTGACCTTCCACCCTGCTGGAGCTGGTCTCCGGACGTCTCAGCTTCCTTGTTAGTTGACTTCCAGAGAAAAGGCACACTAGAGACAAAAATTACATTTGTAATTCTTACATTTGTGAATATATCTTTCTCTGTCTTCACCATTGACTGGAAGTTTGCTAGGAACAGAATTTCAGGTTGGAAACATGTAAGTCAGATGTGGAAGGCAATGCTCATATTTTAGCTGACAGAGCTGCTCTGCCATTCCTATTTCTGACCTTTGCATATGTTATGTTTTCTCTCTTTGAAAACTTGTAGGTTCTTCTGTTTGCCTTTTGTGCTCTGAGTTTTCAACATGATGTACCTGCTTAAGGTTCTTTTCTCATTCATTGTGCTTAATAATGGGTTGATCCTTTCAGTCTAGAAACACATGTCCTCTAATTGTGCGAAGTTTTATTAAATAAAATTGTTCCTCAGTATCCTCAAGGGATTGATGACAGGACCCTCCCCATTGGTCAAGCTTTTTATATATACAAAATTGTGTAGTATTTGCACTTAAGCTAAGCACATCTGCCTGTATACTCTTTAGATGACTTAGAATACCTAATACAATGTAAATTCTATGTAAATAGTTGTTATCCAGTATTGCTTAGGGAATAATGACAAGAAAAAAATCTGTACATATTCATAACTGATACAATTTTTAAAAAAATATTTTCAATTGGTGGTTTTGTGAATCCATAGATGCAGAACCCATGGATATAAATGCCTTCTGTATTGAAGTTGATCATTTATTTTCTCCACGTTCTCTGTACTCTTTCTTGAAATCCTATTATTCAGATGTTAGATCTCCTATTTGATCTTCTGATTTTTATAGTTTTGTATATGTCATCACTGTTTCCTTGGTTGGCTTTATGAAATACAGTGGTGCCTCGGTTCACAAACTTGATTCTTTCCGTGATTCTAGTCACAAACCGAATTGGACGGGAACCAAACCAAATTTCCCCATAAGGTCAATATTGAACCTAACCATTGAATTTGATTCGGTTCTCCTCCAATTCTGTCTGTGACCAGAATTGTGGAAAAAATTAAGTTCATTCACTGAAGTACCACTGTTAAGTCCCTCAGTCTTATCTTTCAAGCATCCTACTAAGTGTTTCATTCCTGCTCTCTTTTTTAACCTTATTTTTCATTTCTAATAGCTCTGGTTTTTTGTTCTCTAAATTTCCTTTTACAGCACTTTATTCTTGCTTAGTAGATGTGACATCTTCTAAAATCTCTTTGAAGATATAATATGTTCTTGTTTTGTTTATTTACTTATTTATTTATTTATTTTGGTACCGGGGATCGAACTCAGGTCCTTTCGCTTGCACAGCAGGTGGCGAAACCACTGAGCTAAATCCCCAGCCCCAAATTCATCATTTGTATGTTGTTTCAACTTTTTTCTTTTTTTTTTTGGTACCGGGGATCGAACTCGGGTCCTTGAGCTTGCGCAGCAGGAGGCAAAAACACTGAGCTAAATCCCCAGCCCTGTTCTTGTTTGCTTTAGTTCCTACCTGCTTGCTTCCATTTCTTCTGGGTTTCTTTTTCCTGTTTTGCCCCTATTTTTCTCGCTTTTGTGTTACAGGCTTTCCATATTCAAGAGCCACTGAAAAGATGATCAAAACCCCAGTGGATATGGGCTGCTGCTGGTGACCTTTCTTCAGGGTGACTTAATTGAGCTGTTGACCCATACTGCAACATCTTTAGATATTTTCTCTTGTGGTGATTGATTACCCAGCATATACAAAAGTCTGCTTTGTTGCCCAGAGGGCACAATTCTGGCTACCACTGTGCTGAGATCCTTTTAAGAAATGGGGTGAGGAGCCTCTCATGCAGACCTCAACCTCATCCCCCCATTTTCAGTGCAGATTCCCACTACTGGCTAGGACTGGGGTTCCCTACCCCGAGCTCATGGTTCATCCTTTCCAGAAAATGAACCACCAGTCTTCTGCTGCAGAGAGGAGCGAACAGGGAAACCTAAATCATGCTCGCTGATGTCCAGCCTGTTTTCCTATCTCCAGCCCACTCACCTGCACTCGGGGACTCTTACTGCTCCCAGTTCTGAGTCCTTTGGTGGTCCTGTGCGGTGTCGGTGTCGAGTGGCTTCTAAGCGCTCTGTGGGCTTATAGTTCAACTTTCTTAGGTTTGCTAAGCTGTCTGATCATGCTTCCACTTGCTGGGCCCCAGGTCCTCTGTTCCTTCCTCGGTTCTCTGTCTTCATGGGTTTATGCCTTTTGGAAAAAAATTCCCTTTCACCAGGTATTCTGAAAGATCAGAGGCAAACTAGTGAACCGGAAACCTGTGTGTGGTCCATCTTTCTTCTTGCTCTTTCTTGCCTGCAGCCTGATCTCTTTCAGGCCCTCGGGTACTACAAGGCTCATTTGCCTGACTAAAAACCAAGATAACAAATGGAAGAAACAGGGACAAGAGGGGAATTGCTCATCGAAGACATGATGTCCTCTCAGAGACTGAGAAAACTGCTATCAAAGTGGTTATATTTTAAATTTTTGCTTCTTATAAAAGAAGCATGTGGGCATTAAAAAAAAGATTTGGAAAAAATAGAAAGAAGGATTGTCTTAATTGCCTCTGTTTCTACACCAAAGGACATTTGTGTCCATGTTGGCTTATTTCCTGCCAGCACTATTTGGTTGCTGCCACATTAACTTTCTAGGGAGTAGGGACAGAGTGGAGGGCTGGTTACCTGCATCACCCCAGCCCCAAGCTGCTCCTCTTTGCTTCCTGTACAACCCCCCACCTCAACATTCCTAGTGAGAGGAGAATCTTATCACCCTTTCCACAAGGACTCACTCAAAAAAGAACTCCCTACTGGAGGGGAGCTGAAGGCCAAGAAAGGAAGACAGACCATTGGAAAGCTGCTCACATGGTGGGGCCAGGAGAAGTCAGCACAAGCACAAAAGACAACAGAAACTAGGAAACAAAAGATACTCACAAGAACATGGAGGCTCTATTTGGCCATTGGGAAAGAGCACGTGGAGTGGGAGGTTCTTGTTGAGATATACCAGCTGATGAGGCTGGAAATGTGTAGTACTTGTGGCGCCCGGTTAGGGAGTTTGTCCCTACTTTAAAGGGTATGAGAAACCGGCCACTGAGAGCTTTGGATCAGGGACATGGTGAAATTGGAGCCATCCTCCCAGAGCATCAGTCTGATAGTCTTGTTGCTCTCACCCTCCACACACACAGACATCTCTCCTTCTCCCTCTGTGTTTGTAGGAGTGGATGATGGTGCTGACATCCCCAGGGAGCTGGTGGTAGGAATCTATGAAAGGATACAGCAGAAGGAACTCAGGTCCAATGAGGACCACGTCACATATGTCACCAAGGTGGAAAAGTCCATTGTGGGCATGAAGACAGTAAGTGTCCGCCACAGAGCAGCACTTGATGTGAGGCGCAGCTTCCTCTCCCATGGGTGCCATGCCACCCGATCTCCTGCTCCCTTTCCTTCCCTTCCTCCTGGCATCTCCTTCTGCTCTCCTCCTTACTTGTCAAAGCCTACAGCTACTGTGTTCCAGACACTGCCTCCTGTGGTTTCCCTTGCCTAGTTTCCTCACTGCCTCTGGCACCAGCTGCTGCAGTGCAGGGAATGAGGGAGCTGCCCAGTGGTCTAGGGTCGGAGCATCTGGGTGGCCAGGTGGAAGGTTCAGGATCTGCTTCTTGGGTGGGACAGATACCAGGCTCTGCTGGATGGTTCCAGTGAACAGAGAGCAGGAAACGGGCTCAAGCAGGCTATGGTATCTCAAACCAAGTAGGTGCCCCACTGTTGTGACCTGTGTCACAGGCAACATGTTCTAAGTGTGCAATGATTTTTAAAGCCAGCACCCTCTGCAGGTCACTGCTCTACTCATATCCCCAGAGGTGATTTACACCATGAATGTGAAGGATATGGAGCAGCTTCCAGTCCCCCTCTGGAGTGGCTGGCTCAGGGCATAGGTGGAGAGCTGAAGACCCGGTCTGAGGCTTTGCCTGGCCTTCTTCTCCCAACCAGTACAAGGCGCACGCCTTCTGCTGTACCGCCTTTATGGCTGCGGTTCTGGCCCACTTGGTTGGCAAATGATTTGGTTCTCTTATGCACTGGAGTAGATTTGCAGTGTGAGTGTCCATGTATTCCCCTCGCTCTTGCACATCTGTATTTGGTGAGCAGTAAAGAAAATGGCTGAGGTGTCACACGTGCAGGCTGCCGCCTGGGGCCTGGGGGTGCCCTCAAGGTCACAGGGGAAAAGGCTGACAGTGTCTGGATTTGAACAATCTGAAAGCCCTTTTCAATTTCCTTTTCCCAACCCTTAATCTCCTCATTTACTCCAGCATAAGGACCACGTCTCTTCTGGCTCTGCTCCCCAAAAAGCGTGAGGAAGGGAAAAGAGCCCCAGGTGAGGAAAGAGGAGGCTTAGGATCAAGTGCAGGCCCTGTTAGGGCTCCCACTCCTCTGCCTGGGCCTCCGTACCCTCTTCTGGAAAGTGGGTGCCCTGGGGTAACCCTGGAGGCCTCTGAGCACCTCGCCCCGGTTCCAGGTGCTGTCGGTGCCATACCGCCGCCTGGTGTGCTGCAGTCGGCTCTTCGAGGTCACAGACGTGAACAAGCTGCAGAAGCAGGCCGCGCATCAGAGGGAGGTGTTCCTCTTCAACGACCTGCTGGTGGTGAGCAGCACGGAATCCGGCCTGGGGTGGACTGACAGGAAAGGCCCCGCCTACTCGGGCCGGGGTGCGGGGGACACGGGCGAGGGGCGGGGTCAGGGTAGCCCGCTGCACAAAAACCCTGCAGGAACTCTGCCCTTTTCAAGCTACAAAAGGACGACAGTGTGGCTGCAGCATAAATCTAGTGAAAGGCAGGGGCCAGGTCTGGTATGGCTTGCAGGCCAGGGCACAAAGTGGGGACTGGGCCCTCAGTGCAGAGGTGATTGCCACAGGGGGCTTTGAGCCGTGAAGAGCACACTGTATGTCTGTACGTGCAGATACGCATGTCTGTAAATGTACGTTTGTAAGTGTATCTGAAGTGCCTATGTATGCATGTATGTGTGTTTACCTTCGTGTGCTGACTTGCGTGTTCACACATGTCCCTGGGTGTTCATGGAAGTGAGTCCCCCAGTCAGTGCGCGATTTTGTCCCTCTCGAGTAGATTCTCAAACTGTGCCCAAAGAAGAAGTGCGCCTCCACATACACCTTCTGCAAATCAGTCGGCCTGCTGGGCATGCAGTTCCACCTCTTTGAGAACGAGTGTAAGTCCTGGGGAGCGAATGACCAGAGAGAGCTTGGGGAAGCTGAGGGGGAAGGCTGGGTGGGGGGCAGGCGACTCAGAGACCATCCCCTCCCCGTGTCAGGCTGGCTTCAGCTCCCACTGCTGCTCACAGCCCATCTGGTCCTGGGGCTGCTTTCCAGATTACTCTCATGGCATCACACTGGTGACCCCTCTGTCGGGCGCAGAAAAGAAGCAGGTGCTGCACTTCTGTGCCCTGGGCTCAGATGAAATGCAGAAGTTCGTGGAGGACTTGAAGGAGTCCATCGCTGAGGTGACAGAGCTGGAGCAGATCCGGATAGAGTGTAAGGGCTTGGGGGCCGGGCTCTCTGAGGCAAGGGGCAGGGGCGGCTGGCACACCGCAACTCTGACTCAGGGACCATCCCCGTTCCTCCCCTGCCCGGGTTAGACCCAGTTCCCCTCCCCACCTGCCCTCCCAGCGCCACGGTACCATCATGGGTGATGTGGGTGCTTCTTCACCACCAGAGCAGGCACATGTATGTGCACATCCCATCAGGCACAAGGTCTTGTGTAAAGAACTTTGCCATTTTGGGCCAGCATCCAGGTAGACTGTGAACCCAAGAAGGCCATGAGCTCATGGGTTTTTCTTTCCTCTAAACTATTTTCTATTTTGTAGCCTTTGCCCCATTTGTAGTCCAAGTGCACATAATGCATCTGATTACTTTCATTTCTCCAACCTCTTTTAATCTAGAATAATCCCTCCACTTTCTTTTGTTTTTTTTTTTAATATCATTGTATGTTTGAAGAGTCCAGGCTGGTTTTCCTCCCATCACTCATTTTATTTATTTATTTTTTAAAAATTTTTTTATTTTTTTGGTACCAGAGATCGAACTCAGGACCTTGTGCTTGCAAGGCAGGCATCGGAACTACTGAGCTAAATCCCCAGGCCACCATCACTCATTTTAGAGTTGTCTTTCTGTTCCCCTTAGGAAGTTCTGGTGTTTTGTTTGTTTTGTTTTGTTTTGTTTTGTTTTTTTGATACTGAGGATTGAAATCACAACCTTGCACTTGCGAGGCAGGCACGGTGCCACTGAGCTAAATTCCTGGCCCTGGAATACCCTAGGTTCTGGATGGTTCCAGCTCGGGCATTTTAGAATCTCAGTGGTCTCCTTATATGTCCAGGTAATTTTCTGGTTTAGGAACTGAGCAGTGACAGTTTATAAAACTGTGCCCTTCTGCAGGCTTTTACTGGTTAAGCACATGGACTTGAAGAGAAAATCATATAAGGATGGATTCAGAAACTAAATCAGAAAATACAAATAGACTCCAGGTCTGCCTTTTGTAGCCACTTAATTGAAAAGTGTCCCTAAATTAATATAAGTGCATTGGGCAATAGGAAAGGTAGTGGGGGATTTTGAGTGGGGAGTCAGTATGACATGACAGTACTCTTTAATCATCATCTCGAAGCACCTACCGGGGCAAAGCAGTCTATCTACACCCTGCTGATGCCCTCAGTGACCTGGAGGTAGATGCATTGAGTCCATCTGACAGATGAGGCTCAGGAAAGGGAAGCAGTGAGTCTAGGCCACACAAACTGTAAGTGGAGCAGCTGGCGTTCACATTTAAGTCTGGCTCCACTTAAATGTTCTCTCCACTCTGAGCTTAAGCATTTCTCTATACTTTCCTAAGAAAACTGTCAAAATCAAAGTAAAACAAAAGCTTACCAGATGTGACTCAGGGGACAGCTTGGCAGGGAGACGTTCAGGGTTGGCTCACATGGGGCAGTGGTGTCGCCCACAGACACTTTTCAAGGGTTAGACCAGATACCCAGAGAGGCACCTTGGGTGTTGTTCTGGAACATTCTCAAGGCTCACTTCTCTTGTCAAAATGTAACAGGTGGCTCCACACTACCCTGGGAAGCCACTGCACATCTCCTGGCCCCAGTATTGCTGCAGGAGGCACTTTTCTTCCCCCAGACCATAAATCCCTTCCCAAAATAATAGAGGAGCAGATATTCCCAGAATCTGCTATGTCAAGAGTGGAACATCCTCTCCTGCTGGCCAGAGGGGAGGAGAATAGGGGGTCTTAGTTACTTCTAAGACAAAATACCTGACACCAACAAGTTAAAGGAGGAAAGCTTTGTTTTGGCTCACAGATTGTAGAAGTTTTAGTCCATAGTCAGCTGGCACCAAGACAGGGCAGCATGGCAGAGGACATTGCAGAGGAGAAACAGCTCACAGCATGGTGGGCTGGAAACAGAGGGATCAAGGGAGGAGGAGAGATACACACCCTTCTAGGCTACACCTGCAGTGACCCACCTCTTCTCACCCGGCTTCACCTCCCAACGTTACACCCACATAGAAACCCCTATGGACTAATCCAGTCACTTCCCAAAAGCCCTACCTATGGTCGTATGAGGCTTTGGGGGAACACTAGATATAAATCATAAGACAGGAAAACGCTAAAGTTTGGCTCTCAGTCTTCAAATAGAGAAAAAGGGAAGGAACAACTGGGGAGAGATGAAGGACTGGCCAAGAAGCAGGCAAGACGGGGAGTGAGAAAGTGTAAAAGAAAGCAAAGCCAATAGCAGCAACCATATATTGAGCACTTACTACATGCCAGCCACTGGACTGATGGCCAAATCCATCATTTAATTCTCACATCCTTCCAGGAGTTCATACTATTCTCCTTGTCTTATAAATAAAGAAAGTGAGGCGCTGTGAGTTCTCACAGTGACAGCAAGTGCTGCACCAAGGTCCTCCTGACTCCCTCAGTGTAATCATGAAGCAAATTCATCCAAAGCCGAGAAGACCCACTGGGAGCAGCTGGCATTCACACTTAAGTCTGACTCCACAGTTTGTGGTTTTTGCACTCGAACCTTGGTTCAATAAAAAGTGGGAGTATTGACGGATGGTCTGAGGCAGGCGACCGAGACAAGTGGTCCTGGAGTAGGGGCTTGTGGAGAAGTGTTCCTGGATTCTAGACAACCAGAGAGACCACAAATGGAACCCAGGAGAGTGGCTTCAGTGAAAGGAACTTGAGGTAGGCCTCCTGGAACACAGAAGCCAGAGGAGTGATTTAGGAACGACTGTCAGAGAGCTGGCACTGACTGTCATCTCCAAGGATGGTGACTGGCAGTTTTCTAGCGCCACTGGGAGAACAAGAAGAAACACATTTCTTTCTTTTTCCTTTCTTTTTTTTTTGGTACTGGGAATCGAACTTGGGTCCTTCCGCTTTCGAGGCAGGCGGCAGAACCACTGAGCTAAATCCCCGGCCCAAGAAACACACTTCTAGTCCAGGGACAGAAGTTAAAGTGGAGGACCAAGATAGATGTCTTGGCCATGTGGGCCATGCAAGCTGGACAGACAAGGCAGGTAGGATGTCTCAGCAACTGTGGCTGCTCAGTCTTGCAGGACGCACATGGGGGACTAGATGTCACCAACTGCGATAAGACCTGCATGCCAAGTACTAGTTTTCTCTCACAGTGCTGGGGATGGACCCAGGGAGCTCATGCGTGCTGGGCAAATGCTCTACCAGTGGGCCACACCCCCGGCCACCAAGTGCTCCTTACATGTTATCGTGGGAGCACTTGCTGTGAGCCACACTTTGTTCTCTGTGCTTTATGTGTATTTCCTCAGCCAGTCTTCTTAATGACCACTTTGCAGTGGGGAGGGCATCTCCTCCAGTGAGGCACAAACAGGTTAGCTAACTAGCCGAAGCCACACAGCTAGGAAGCATCAGAGCTGGGATCTCCCTGGAGAGTTGGCCTCCCTCGTGCTAACCTCTTCCATTGGTCTTGGACATTCAAGAAGGTCCTATCGTCTCCATGTACAGGTGAAGAAGCTGCAGCTCCCAGGGCAGACTCAACTGGCTGTTAAGTGCCATGCTAGACCCTGAGGCCCCTGCCTTGCAGCACATAGTAGGGGACCCCCATCCTCCTCTTCCTTGTCCTGCTCTCTTCATTTCCTTGTTTACATGCATGGTGGAGGTCAAGTGTGTGCTCATGGCCTCCCCCTTCCTTAGGGGAGCTGGAGAAGCAGCAGGGAACAAAGACGCTCTCCTTCAAGTCCAGGGAAGCCCAGGTGGACCCACAGTCAAAGCAAGGATCACCCACAGGTGAGCATCAGCTCTGGCCTGGGCCCCAGCCCACAAAAGGCCACTTGCAGCCCCAAGCCTGGCTCCTGGGAGACTTGAGTGGGAGATGTGCCCATTTTTCTAGTCATTTCTTTCCTCAGAGGAACTCTTATCTTACTGTCTTTATTCTCATGGCCTTCAGTAAGGGGAATGAGAAGGAAAGTGCAAGAGAAATGTGTCCATTTTGCAAATGACACCAGAGTTCAGGAGTCCATGTGACGTGGCACCATTTGCCCAAGGGTCTTGTCACCCTTACCCAAGATAGGAGGAGCAGGGTAAGAAGGACAGCCAGTAGGGTCTGGGAATCTCTTCTGCCCCTAACAAGCCCCAAGTACTGTCTAATACAAGCCCAGGTCAGAGACCCTGAAGTCAAGACAGGCCTCATGCTCAGTTTCTCAAACGGTTTATTCAATTGAGTTGTTTCTTCCAGCCGAGTCAGACAGCTGCAGACTTGGCATCCCCTCGGCCATGGCCACGCTCTCTAGAGCTGCTCCCTCGGCCCTCTGACACCCCCTCCTTTGCTGCCCCAACCTTGCTTGCCACCTGTAGAGGGCACAGAAGACAACGACACCACCTCCCCTCCACCAGCCCCAAATGAAAAACAGTTAGAAGGAGTGAGGGTGCGAGAATTAAACCCCATGCCCACACAATCCCAGCAAACTTGACTTGGTGCAGGCAGCAGCACGGGAACAGGCCGTGCCTGCTAGGACATGTGATCCACTTTCCAAGCACACCGTGGGGCTCTTTTGCTTTGGGGAGATTCTCACTGGGATGGGTTTCACCTACTACTGGCAACCATACTTCATGACCAGGTCTGACTTCCGTAGCCCCTTGATTTTGTAAGGTCATGGGTGTGGCGGTCACAGCTTGTTTTCACAGCTGCCTAAGCCCCAGAGCCAATACTCGGCTGTGATTTATTCCCTCTCATCCCATATCTGCAGCCCTACTGGCCTTTCTTTGGGAAATGCAAGCCCTGGTCACACTAGGATGGTGTCCCCAGGGACCTGTCCATGGATTGTCTCTGTAGTGAGGTGTTTCTAATTCCCAAAAAATGCCACAGCCTCCTCTTATGCTTTGGAAAGCAGGGGGCTGAGGAAAGCAAGGGAAATTGCCGCCCCTAGAGGGGGGTATTGAGAAATCGGAGGGCTCCCGCTGAGGGTCAGTGGAAGCGGGGGAATGACTTAGAAAGAATCATCAAGCTGTCCTTGGGGCCCTGTGGGACCCTGCTGCCCTGCAGGACTGGTAGAGCCCCTCAGCAGTAATCACAGGTCCCATGGGCTCTGCCATATACATACCAGGCACTGTGGTGAGGGCTGTACCAGGCTTAGCTCATCAAGTCACAGGAGGAGGGACAAAGTACAGCCCTTCCTTCAAGGAAGCCAAGGCTGGTCAACATGGTGCCCACAGACCAGGGCCTACCTCGTAAGCTGGCTTTCCCAGTCCATCTTGGCTTTGTGCAAATTAGACTGAACAATGCCAACATCAGAAAGCATGTCAGAGGTCAGCTAGTACGGAGGCACAAAGAGGTGCAGCATCTTACCCAAGATCACACAGCTAGGTGGCCGAACTGGGCTCCTACCTCCTGGTCCACTCAGCCCGGCTACACCTCAGTGAGGCATGTGCAGCACCCAGTCTGGCTGCCCGTGCCAGCTAACTGCAGAGGTGTGAGGGCAGGAGCGGGGAGGGCCTGGGGCTCCATCGGGACTGGTAGAGAATGAGCACCGTGCTGTTTACAGTCAAAGCCAAGAGGGACACTGCGCTGGGGGAGAAGCCCACAGAGAGCCCCGGGGAGGTAAGTAGAGGCCTGGTGCGTCCAGGTGAGTGACTTCGAGCCCCTTGTCCTTCTTCTCACCTTCTCTGTTGTTTCTCTTCTCAGGTATTAATCAATGCCTCCCCAGCCCGACTCACCATTTTACCAATTTCAAGAGATACAATTAAAAGTTACTGCTAGCATGGGTAGCGCGACTCTCCCAGCACCCAGTTAGCCCGCCCACTCCCAGCCCAGCCCTGTGGGGAGGGAGCCACAGCACCTCCGTCCTCCTCCCCACACTCCCCTCCCCCTGCTCCCCAGCAGAGCTCTGCCCAATACACGCGCTGTCAGAGAACCCAGTGTCCCTTTCCCTAGTCCTCCCGGCCCCCATGTCAGGGAGCCTGGGGAGTCACACTCAAGCCAGGCCTCCAGACGATCACGTCTGCACCTGCCATGCCCTTTGGACCCTTCCCTGGGAAAGATGGAGAATTAAGAGCAGGGCAAAGGAGGGGCTTCTTGGAAACAGCTGGCTCCCTACAGAGTGGGCCATTGTAGGGGGATGGGGCTGGGCAGGGCGGAGAATGTCTTGGAGAGGAAGGATACCCATCCCCAGACTGCACCGGGAAAGACACAGGGCTCCCCACCGGCCCCAAGGTGTCTCCCCCGTGGGGGAAGATGCAGCTGTCCCAGCCAGTCTTGCGGGGCTGCAGCCCCCCACAATGGACCTGCTTGTATCCCAGTGAGCCCAGGCCCCTTTTCCTTGCCACAGGACACTAGTTGTTCATACACACAATTCTCTCCCAACCTCACTTCCAGCTGGAGGGGGCCCCTAGATGTGAAGAAGGAGCCCTACCCCCCAGGCCGCAAAGCCCCGGAAACTGCAGGATGCCCTAGGAGCTCAGTTTCCTCCCCACCCCATGGCCCCCACCCCTCACACACACGAGTGTCTGGAGGAGGCACCCCTACTCGGAGGAGCTTCCGCCCGGCAGCTGACCAGCCCCGGGTGGGTATTCCATCGCCACCCTCCTCTCCTATCTTCCCACAGCTGCCCATCTCAGCCTTGCAGATAAACATGCCAAGTTACCAGCCCTCTGGCCTGTTCTGCCAGCCATGCCCCTGCCCTGGCCACAGCTCCGCATGGGAGACCAGCAATCTGACACCTGTCTGCCCTCTATCTGTCCTGTGGGGCCATGTGGCTATCTGCAAGGCTGCCACCCCTCAGCTAGCTCCAGGGCCCTGCCAGCCCCTGCTCCCCTGCACAGAGGACAGCCTTGCTGCCCCATGGCCTCTGCTGGACCCCCAAGCTCTCCTCCTCTGTGCCCTCCTTCGTCATTGCCTGGTCGACCCCTCTGCCAGGCGCTTGTCCATCTTCTCTGAGCTGTTCTGACCTGCTACTCATGTTTCACCTCTGTCCTCTCTCTCTCTCTGTTCTCTCTCCCTCTCTCTCTCTCTTTCTGTCTCTCTCTCTCTCTCTCTCTCTCTCTCTCTCTCTCTTTCCTGAGCAGGGAGTGAGAAGGGGGTTAGAATGAGAGGACATTTTGCTGGCACATCCTGCTTTTCACTTGCTGGCCATTAAAGATAAAGGACCCAGCCTGGGGTGGGGGCTGGGGGCGCCCACAGTGGAGGCAGAGCCAGAATATGGGAGTGGGAGAGGGAGCTTGGGCTGAGGCCAAGCGCTGAGGTCACATGGAAGCATCAGCCAAGGAGAAATCAGCCCACAGGTCTGAACTGGGTGGCCAGGCATTTGCCTAGGGAGGGGCGGCCGTGAAGGCAGGACAGGGAGGCTGAAGGGCTCAGCCTGGTCTGGTGGCCTCAGGCCACTTTTCTCTCTGGGAACAGTGCAGGGTATAAGCAATGGGGAAAGGAGCCCAGGCCCTTTGGCAGTGGTGGTGACAGAGGCCTTCTTCAAAATAAAGATCTCAGAGGCCTCCCCTGGAAGAAAGGACCTCCAGCCATGCCCTCTGTCTGCTGTGTGTCTGCCAGGACAGCAAGGGGCCCAGTGGAAGCTTCATTCATTTAGGGGATCTTGGGACTAGAAAATGCCTCTGAGTCAGGATGGAGAATAAAGCCTGCAACATGGGAACTACAGAGCCAGGGCTTGTGAATACTGTGGGGCAAAGGAATAGCTGGGGGCCTTGCAAGGGAGGCAGCCTATAGGAGCACTCCGATCCAGGAGGGCCCTTAACAAAGCACCCTTAGCTAACAAGCAGGACCAGGAAGTGCTGGTTGAAGGCTCTGAGATGGTATTGGGCTGGGCCTGGGATAGGGTCTCCTCCCCTATAGTCTTGGGGCCCCTCTGTGCTCTGAGCAGTGGCCAAAGGTGGGGAAGCCCAGCCAAGACAGCAGCAAAACAGGAAGCATCCCCAGAGAGGAAGGCCCTCAGCCTCCCCACAGGGCCCGGGTGTTTGGAGGGGTTTGTAGATGGTCATAGCTGCTGGTTGGGATACCTGGGGGGAGCAACAGGGTGAGGAATTAAATCCTTCTTTCCAGAATGCTCTAACCTCCCTTATGCTCAGTTCCTCTGCCTCCCATTGCTAGCAAGGAGGCCAGGCAAACTGACACTGACCCCTGTAGTCTGCAGGAGGGGGGTCCCATTGGCCATTGAGGAACTTCCTCTGACCCCTACCCAGGAATAAAGATCAGAATCCCTCTAACTCTCCACTCCTGCTGCCAGGCAACCTTAACCAGGACCCAGCTTGGGCTGAGAGGAAGGTGGGCACCCAACTGTGCGCTCTTAAGTTTGGGCTGGCTTGGATGCAGGGCCATGGCCACATGGTGTCTGGGAAGACAGGGCAGGTCCAGAGCACCCCCTCAGGTGTCTCTGGCATTCTGGGGTTCAGGCACCTTTTTATGATATCGGCTATAACAAGGTTCTCTCTTTCAAGAAGCAGGAGAGAGGAGAGGGCTTGAAAGGACCAGAAATGCTTGGCTCTGTCACTGTGTCTTACCTCCTTCGCCTCAGCACCCACCCCTGGGAGGCAGGCAGGGGCCAAGACCCTTTACCAGTTTTTCAAGCTCAGTGGGTAGTGAGGCAGATGGGGAGCAGTTTGCTGAGACGCTCAGCCTCCAGCAGGTCCCTGGAGTCAGAATGCAGAGGTACGCAGAGCCGGTCTCACTGGTGAGGACACTGAGGCCTGGAGAACCACACTTAGCCACCATCAGGCTCGGGCTCTGCTCTCCCTGGTACAGAAGAGCCCAGGTCGAAGCCAGCTTTCCTCTGGCTGGAGAGCTGGGCAGAGGGTCAGAGAAAAGGCTGAGAGCACCTGATGGGCTGCAGGGATGGGCACAGGAGGGAGACAAAGGGTGGCTCGGCAGCCTGTCCCAGCCCTGGGAACTAGTCTGTAACATGTCATGCTTCTCTGGCTGTTTCTAAACTAGGTGTCAATTCACAACAGGCTTCAAACGTCCCAGCGCAGCTCCAGGCTGGGGGCCGAGAGGGGAGCGCCAGTGCCACTGCCAGACCCACAGCCTAGCCCTGTGAGAGAGCAGCCACCGCTGCCGCCGCTGCCACCCACACCCCCCGGCACCCTGGTACAGTGCCAGCAAATTGTCAAGGTCATTGTCCTGGACAAGCCCTGCTTGGCGCGCATGGAGCCCCTGCTGAGCCAGGCTCTCTCCTGCTACACCTCGTCCTCCTCCGATTCCTGCGGCTCCACACCTCTGGGTGGCCCGGGGTCCCCAGCCAAGGTCATCCACCAGCCTCCACTGCCCCCGCCCCCACCCCCTTACAATCACCCTCACCAGTTCTGCCCGCCCGGCTCCCTGCTGCACCGGAGGCGCTACTCCAGCGGCTCCAGGAGCCTGGTGTAGCTCTGCCTCCTACAGCCTGCTGCTCCAGGAAGACCAGCCACCAGGCGGGCCTCAGCTGCCCCTTGCTGCTCCCTGTATCCTGGCATACAAAGTCACCAGTCACTGTTTGGAAAGAGAACCCTGATCCCTAGCACATGGATTTGCTTGGTCCAGCCATCCTACCCTTACTCAGCTGAGCACCCCTCAAACCTGGAGAAACCACCTCCCTTTCCTGGGGTCCCACAGAGCCAGATGAGGTGATATCTCTGGCCACCACTCCCCAGTCGAACCATGGAGTGAAGAAACTCAGAGCTGAGGAGCTGACCAGCTTGCAGGCTTGGAGTCTATTCATGCCCGAGCCTCAGCCCATGGGCAGGAGCAGGAGGCTGGGGTGGCTGGAGTGGCAACAGAGCCCTGGATGGAGGGTGACTGGCCTGCAGCCAGGTGCACCTGTGGCTGAGCTGAGTGGAAGAGGGTAGCCCCAGCTCTCTGGAGGGCCAGCTGGCAGGAGGCAGAAGGAGGAGCTTGTTCTGCTCCCCTGTCCCCAGCCCAGAAGTCTCAGAAGGCTGCTCCTGGGTCCCCAAGGACATTGGCTCTCCTGGCCCCTCCCCCCAGGGCCTTCTCAAGAGCTGCCCTGACTCCAGGAAAGCTTTAAGAAAGGGAGGAGGAAGGAGGAGCACTTGGCTCTCTCTAGGTTAGTTTGTCAGGGCCATGAGATGACAAGGTCAAATATCTGCAAAATGCACTTTTGAAAAGCATTCAGTAGTTCCCCGGCCCCAAGTGAAACCCAGCCAGTGCCAGGGGCACACAGACACACACCAGAACCAGGTTAATTTCTTCCACTCTTTCCACAGACACAAGGGGATGGGTGTGATCCACCCAGTGGGGGTTCTAAGGGAGGTTCTACTGGGCCCAGAGTCAGGGCTGCCTCTTGTGTGACTCGGTGGCCTCCAGGAAGAACTTGTGTGCAGAAGTAGGCAGGAGCATGGGGCCCCAGAGGAGTCGGGTCTCCCGGCTGCCTCAGGCTTTAACAGTCCCCTGTGAAGACACAGATCCCCTCCAACGAGACTGGCTGAGTCCCTCAACGTCACAAAGGAGAGCCAAGCAGGGCTGCTGGCCTCCTGGGGTGAGCAGGAGCAGAGAGCCAGCCTCAGGTTCCCACAAAGCCCCAGCCCGAGGAGAGACGGCCCATCCTCAAAGCCCTGGGTCAGTGCCCTGGCCACCCCATCATGGAGGTTTTAGGAAGTATCTGCTGGAAGCCTGGCCACACTGTGGTCCTGTGCTTGCAACTACAGCTGTCCTTCCTCACAATCCTTCCTCTGGAAGCCCATTTATAAAGCCTCCAGGGAGATGCAATAGATATTGGCTATGTCTAAAGTGAATTGGCTTCTCCAGCCCCAGCTCAGGCCCTGTGCTGCAGCATCCAGGGCCAGGGAGGAGGCAGGGATAATCTCCACCCACAGAGGGGCCAGGTGACCTAGTTTCCCATGCCTGTGTGTGAACACCCGGACGTCATCATGAGGTCACTTAGTTTATTTCTGGATCTGTCTTTGTCAGCCTGGTTTCCATAACTTGGGACCAATTTGCTGTCTCCCTCATGACTCCCAGCCCATCTGTTCCCCCCACCCTGGCGGCCTCGGCCCCTCAGGGGCTATTCTGAACAGAGATGCTTTCAGAGCCTGGAGGCGTAAGACAGCTGACACAATCCAGACACCTTGCTGCCCTCAGCCAGGGTGGGAAACCTCAGGGTCTCAGGGGTGATGGAGCTGTGAGGATAGGAGTGGGTGAATCTCCAACGAGAGGGCTGAAAATGGAGTACAAATTACAAATAGGAGGCAAGGTATGAGGTAGGAAAGAATGTGAGTGATGAGTGCAGCTAAATGTACTTATGAGATGGGGGTGACTGGTGCCAGGGGCTGCTGGAGAAGGGCATAGCCCTAGACAACTTCATGCCCACTGTCCCTTCACGTCCTGTCAACTTCATGCCTTGTCCCTGCTCACAGTGTGAGCAAAGTGCCCTCCTTTCCAGTTGGCAGGCACAGCAGTGCCTACCCCTCCCTCCCCCTCAGCCAAAGCCCAACTTCCCTGATGGCAGCAACCAAGGTCTTAGGGCTGGCTCGTGCACATTCTCTGAGGCCCTGGATGTCCAGGCACCCAGTGCCCCTTCCCCAGGCCAGAGGCTCATCCTGGCTTGCTGCAAGGTGGCCATGGGCCCCATCAGCAACCGGGGCAACTTGCACAGAAAGAGACCAGCCTGGGGTGGGCAGCACAGAGCAGCCTGAGGCAGGGAGGGTCTGGACAGGAGACAGCTGGGCCTCCTCACTGTTGGGCCAGCTGGAGTTCCCGCCTTCTGTAGCCTCCCTACTTGATCAGTCAGCAGGCTAAGCTGGGACCATTCTCAGTCTCCTCCCCAGAGACTGGGGACATCCTCTGCCCTCCATGGGAGCAGCCACGTCAGGGCCTCCCAGAGGGCCAGCAGAGATGCTCAGGGGCCTCCTGCTCTCCCAAGACTAAGGGCAGTGCAGTGCTGACTGAGCCACAATCGCCCTGAGACAGCCCCACTTCATCAACCCTCTAGCCTCACTTTGGGGGACCTGGGCTCCTCTCCCATTTTATCTATTTGGCCCAAGGCTGGAATCAAGAGCGGAAGATGAAACTAGCTTCCTCACCCCTTCAGGACAAGTCCCACTGCCAGAACTGAAGTGGGCCCCGTCCAACACTTATCCCCCAGGTCTGCCTCTCTGACTGTCTGTCTGTCTGTCTCAAAGGTGTCTCGCTCCCACACACACTTAGGACCTCTGACTCCCCACCCACCCACCCACCTGTCCACCAGAGCCTGCCAGGATATCTCTTGTAGCCAACAGGCTTCCCTGGTGACCATCTGTCTGTCTGTCCCTGAGTCGGGGGCACCTCCCTCCTCACTGCACCCCTCCCTGCTCGCACCCTTCACCCTGCCGGAGAGATGCCTCTCTAGGGAAAGGCAGGGTGGCTGCACCCAGCAATTAATCCAAATGGCAAATATTTTGTAACAAAAATAGCCCAGAGGTATTTTATCTGTTCAATTCATAGTTTTAGAGATTATATTGAAATATGTCACTTGAGGAAACTATGTCAGTTGCTTATTTGTTCTTGCACAGAGTGTCTATCCCACAAGGTCTGGGCAGAGAGAGATGCTGGACGGCTCTCCTCTGCCACGGCAGTGTTTCTTTCACTCCAGGATAATGTACTCATGGTTCGACGTGATTAGGAATCTTTCGTGGCGGGGGTGGGTGGGGGGGACCAGCCATCTGATGCAGGGCTCCAGGGCAGGGCTGGGTGCGGAGCTGGGAAATCACCTGTGGGTGCAGGCCAGCCTCCACCCTACCAATGTACACATGTGCACACACCGGTCGGGAAAGTGGTTACCGTGGAGACTGGAGGGCAGCTGTGGAGGGAGGAGGTGCCACAGCAGCCAACCTGCACCCAGGTAGTTATTAGTGCAGGGCAGTAGCTAGGAGCTTCCACCAGCTTGGCTTCTTGCAATGGAGAGCAAGAGTCCTTTGAGGAGCTGAAGGAGCCCATCCCATGGGCCAGATTTGATCCTTGGCGTTGGGCAATTTACACCCAACACCAAGTCCCAAAGTGAAACCCAAGGGTAGGGTTCGGTCTGACAAGCCCTGAGGTACACCCTTCCTGACTAGACAGGAGCTGGGGTCCAGGACTGGGACATCGTTGGGGAAAATGCTTGGAGCTGAAGACAGCATCTTCTGAACCCTCCCACTGCCACACTGGCTCTCCTGCTGGGACCTGAAGGAGAAGCAGACTTTTGGGAAGGGGATGACAATGGCCCATGGGCTGGAAGACTGGGTGCAGGAGGCTGAAATGAGCCTGATGGAAATGCAAGGGCTCTCGTGAACATTCACAGCCACTGGCAACCTCAGCCCTGTGGCAAGGGGCATCAGGGGACTGTACCGTGAGAAGAGAGCAATGGCCAGGATGGTACCCACAAAGAGGGCACCCAGCTCTCTTGGTGACCAGAACTCGGAACTCACAGAAATGTAGATATCTCCAGTGGCCTCCGTAGGCCAGATCACACCATCCTCTGTTAAAGTGAAAGGGAACATGAGCTCATCCTCTTCTCAGGAAATGGGAAATTCCAGGAGAAACAGAGGCCAGCTAGGACTGGTCTTATCCTGGGAATTCTTTGACCCAAGAAGCCGAGGCCTGGCGGGGACCTGGTCAGTCTAGTTCTGGGAGAGGGCCTAGGGCCATAAGGACCCCTTGGTATGTGTGCCAATGTCAGAGTAGAAGCTCTCTTCTCCCACCTCGGGGCTGAAGTCACCCAGGAGGAATGCCCACCCTCTAGTGGGAAAGGGAGACCACTGCATGCTGATGGAGCCCCTGATGTTCTGGGTCCTCTGGGTCATTTGCAGTAAGGACAGAGGCTCTAGTCAGTCCCTGTAATAACCCTTTGTGGATGAGAAACATACATTCATCAGTCATTTGCTTAGAGTGCTACCAGGAAGGGGTCCTGGGATTTACCAGTTTCTGGCTGAGAACACTAGCCAAGAAGAAGGGGCTAGTGCCAGAACTCAGGGTGAATTCAAGAAGCTTGTACACATCCGCTGGGCAGCAGGCACCTTCCGGGCGCAGAGGATACACAGTGACCAGGACAAGCAGCACCCCTGCCTGAAGGTTCACACGAGGAACCATCCAAAAGAAACCAGCAGTGAACCAACGATGTTCCCATAGAGGACGGTGATGTGGTCAGGGTGACGGGGAGGGTGCAGGTGAGAGTGTGGAGGGAACATTCAGCTAGGCCAAGGTCAGGTCTGAGGGCAATGAGCAGTTCCAAGGGTGAGATCTTTGTGAGGCAGAAATCAAGACAATCTGCAAAAAGACCATTACTCGATAGGCAAACTACTTACATGAAAAAAAATCTTCCTCAAGTGTCAAAATGGATTTTTAAAAGAAAAAAAGAAAACGCTTTCATTGAGGAAATCATAAAATTAGTTTTTCCCTAGAATATCCAGGGCAGAACCATAGACCAGGAAGAGAAGTGGGCTGGGAGGGCAGTCAGCCAGCTCCAATGGGGCCGGGTGGAGGCAGCTGCACAGGAGGTCCTAGGCTGCCACCACAGTCCCCAGGATGCAGATAACAGCAGAGGTGAAGCCCAGCTGCCTGCCATCGGGGGAGCTGCTGTCCAGCACAGGATGCATGTGTGGGATTCTGACACTTGACGAAGGAGGAACCCAGTTTGGGGCCTGGTCAGCCAGCAGGTAACTGCCTGTCTGTCTCCTCCCCAGTCACCCCAAACCACGTAGACTCAGCTTTTAAGTTTAACGTAATGGACCCCATGGTCTACTGCCCACTTGGTCCTGGGGTTGGCACCTTTCGCCTTAATGTGTCCCCCATAAAACTGCAGCAAGACTGATCTGCCTCACAGCAGGGCTGCACAATGAGGCTGTGGGCCTCGGTACACCCGCCCTCCTCTCCCAGCCCTGACAGATGTGTCTAATTCACAGTTTTCTGGGAGCCCCACCAGGATGAAATGAAGTTTCTGGTCTGTCCTGAGGCATCCTCACAGGGTCCCCATGAAGAAGGGCATTTTGGGGAGGTGGTTTTGGAGCAGGAGGCAGCAAGCTAAAGCTGTGGGCCAGTAGAGCTGCTGGGCACCTCCCTGTGCCCGCTGCCCTCAGACTCCTCATGGATAGCTCTGCTGTTCCACCATTGCTGTGCCCCTCAGACACCCAGGGCTGCTTTCTTTAGACTCCACATGACTCTGGCAACCCATCCCAGGGCCAGCTGGGCTGCCTTGGGAGTAAGATCCATTCTGCCCTGGCCTCAGGCAGACCTTTTAGAGGCAGGGAGTGTTCCCTGCAGGAGAAGGTAAGGTCCATCAGAGGCCAGTGGCCAAGAGCCATGGCTGAGCTCTTTTCTGCTCCTCTTCCCTTCCTAGGGAGGTAGCCAGGCCCAGGGACAGGCCCCTAGCCCCAGCTTAGTCTCAAGAAGATTAAACGAGGGAGCAGAAATGGGCAAGGTCAGGTCTAGAACTGGTCCCAGCAGGAAAATTCCATCCAGGATGAGTCTGCAGGATGCAGGAACTGGCGTTCAGGAGATGGGAGGAGGGATGGGAATTCTCCTCACTCCTCCTCTTCCACCCTCCCACCTCCCTGCAGGTCTGGGCAGTTTTGCTCCCTTGGGAACCAGGCAGCCTAATACCACTAAGCAGCCCCTAGCACCTCAGTGCTTCCTGCTCCCATGACCCAGTCTGAATGACCTCATGCCTGGCTCTGGGAAACTGTGGGAACTAGCTTCAGGGAAGGCAAGAGGCCACCAGGAGACCTGGCTCTTGTGAGCATGTTTCCAGCTTCTTAGACTTCTCTTTCCCTACTTTCCTCCAAAACCCCAATTCCCCAACTCCCTTCCAGGACCACCACTGTCCACTCTTACGGAGTAGCAGGCCAGGGTGAGGGAGCCTTTTCCCCCTTCATAGGGAGTCACAGAATCCCCAGCCAGACTTACAGGTGGATGTGCAGGTTAGTTGCCCTTTTACAGATAAATTTAAGAAATTACAAACGGAACAACAGATAAGTCAAACTAAGAAGAAAGAACATAATAAACACAAAGGCAGAAGTTAAAGGTCTACATACACACTCAAGAAGAACAATCCCACACACACCAGGCCAAATGATTTGACTATATTCTACTACACATTTACAGAATAGACAATTCCAACCTCATATTAACTCTTTCAGAAACAAAGAACATTCCCTTGTTCCTTTTTTATGAGCCTACTGTAACCATAAAAGCAGAAGCTAAATAGACAAGGACAATATGGGAAAGGGAGACAAGAAGCCAATCTTGCTTAAGAGCCTAAATACAAAAATTCCACACAAAATATTAACGAACTGAGTTTGGTACTGAATGACAAAAACATGACACACCATGACCAAGTTGGGTTTGTTCCAGGAATGAAAAGGTGTTTAATATGAAGAAAACCTTCATGCAATTCACTACCTTAACAGACTAAAGGACAAAAACAATATGATCAACTCAATAGATGCCAAAAAGCAATCAATAAAATCCAATGCTTATCCCTGATTTTTGTTTCAAAAAAAGCAAATTTGGAAGAGAAAAAAACTTCACAGCCTAATGAACAGTGTCTATCAAAAATCTGTATCAACTATCATGCTCAATAATGAAATGTTAGACTATGCCGTCAAAAGTAGGAAGAAGATCTGCTGCCACCACTTCAAGTTCTCTGGTAAAGGGGGACAAGAAAAAGAAACAAGGAAGAGTGATTGGAACCAGGCATGGTGGCACACACCTGTAGTCCCAAGCTATTTGGGAGTCTGTGGCAGCAGGATCCCAAATTGGAAACCACCCTGGGCAACTTAGCAAGATCCTGTCTCAAATTAAAATCTTAAAGAAGGGCTGAGGGTGTAACTCAGTACTGAAGCACTTCCCTAGCACACATGAAGCCCTGGATTCCATTCCTAGCACTACAAAAAAAAAAAAAAAGGAAATGGAATGGAGTGATTGGAAAAAGACAACTACCATTATTTCCAGATAGCCTGAATGTCTACGTAAAAAGCCTAAAAGAATCAAGACCAAAAAAGCCCAAAGCATTAGCTTTAATACAGAGAAGGAGGCTGTGGACAGAGACAGACAGGGAGCCCAGGTCTCCCGACAGTGGCTGGCCCAGTGCAAGACTGGCAGTTCCTGTCCTTGCCTTGGGACCTTCTCTCCATATCAGACACAAATGTCACCTGCTCTCTTTGAGGATTAACTCAGGCCAGGCATGGCACGGCCACCTTTGATTACTCCGTGGGCAGCTCCTTGTGGGGAAGGTTGCCTGCTGTGGCAAAGGCACTGCTGGGGTGGAAGCTGAGCTCCGGCGTAGGGACCGGGCCCTTCGTTCCCCTGTGGCTCCCTCAGTGTGGGGCAAGGTGGATGTGGGCAAAGAAAACCCCAGCATAAGTTTACATCAGATTCTGGGTAGGATTCTTGTCACAGGAACGGGGTTGGGCCCTGACCTCAGGGATATCCAGGTCACCAAGGGCTCAGGCTGGCAAGGAGCAAGCTCTCCAGTCTCTGTCTATAACAATTCGATGCCCATCTCAGACCAGAGGAGCGACCTGACTGCTGGTCATCCAACTGGGAGCAGAGAAAGTTGAAAAGCATGACCCAAGGTCTGGGCCAACAAAGCACCTCAGTCCCATGCTGCTGGCCAGGCTTCCTCCTGTCGGTCTCTCCATCCTCCCCAGCACACGTCCTCCCCTGGCCTCTGTGTAACCATGGGCGGTTAACAAGCTTTTCATCCCTGTCAGATCCAATCAGGCCCTGTTACTTCACTGAGTAGTCAGCCCTGCAGGGAAGCCACGTGGCTCAGTCATCGGGGAGCCAGTCACGTGAAGAGAAAGAGCACCAGGGACAGAGGCAGCCAGGCCTCACCTGATGCAGAACAGGAGAAAAAGCAAGCAAGGGTCATGGCGGGCTCTGAGGGGTCAGGGGAAGTGCCGGTAAGGAGAAAGCCAAAGGGTTAGGACAGGAAGAGCCCAGGGAATCATCCCTCTCAGATGAGGGCCACCATGACCCTCAAAGAGGCACTTCCTGTACTCTCAAAGCCAGGGTCAGTTATCTACTGGGTTAGTTATCTGCTACTCTAACAGGTCACTCCAAAAACAAGTGGCTCCAAATGACATCCATGTTTTTTATCCTTTACCACGGGCCAGAGTCCAGGGCCACTGCAGGGCCTTGCTGTGCAGGAGCTTCCATGGAGCCGCAGGCCATGTGTCAGCCCAGCCCATGGAGACTTGAAGGAGGCCTGGGGCTGTGGAGCCCACCTCCCAGTGGCTCACACAAGTTGTGAGGCTTGATGCCGGGGACCTTAGTCCCTCCATGTGCACCTCTCTGTGGCTTCCACGGACCATTCACCTAGAATCCTCACTGCCACACAGGAGCTATTGCCGCCTGATACCTCAAAGCTAGCTCTGAAGTTACGGTCAGCCACCCCCTTCCCCTTCTCGGGGATAAGGACAAGCCTGGGAGAGCGGGGGAACTGATCCAGAATTCACGGAAGGGTCTAGAGAATGGGAGGCCCGCCATGTGTGACCACTCCAATGACCACTGTCCTCTGCTTTTCCCTCCTGCTCGGGGCAGGGTTCTGGCTCCCTCCGTTGCTCAAATGTTTCCCCAGGTGATGAACTCAGATGTCCTCAAAACTGAGTGCTACCATAGGGAATGGCAGCAAACCAGAAACCACCACCATCTACCACATGAGGGCATTCACTTTAAAAAAAATTTTTTTTAATGCTGTAGTGGCCAAAAAAACCATGCCTCCCAGATTAGACCTCTGGTCTCCAGTCTGAAACTCGGAGTCTAGGATATGAGACAAAACAGACTGCAAATCTGCATGACCACTCTTTGTGCGCAGCTGTACATGTATGCCCCCCACACACACACACTTATTAGTGTTCTGGGTACTGAAAGAGTGAAATCGTTGCTCCATGCCCATATCATGGACCCATTAAGAGTGGGTTCCCAAGAGCTTTGACCTTGATCTGAAATCCCTTTCCCTGGCTGCCTGTTCCCTCTACTCCCTTTGAACCGGTCCTGAGGAGGCAGAAGGGAGGGGAGCGCGGCAGACACAAGCCTCCCGCAGAGTCCTGTGTCTGACGGAAACAGCCCCGCAGCTGTGAATTTAAAGCAGTGATTCCGCAGCTCTTGTGCTGGTGAACATCTGCGGGGCGAGGGAAGGCGGTGTCTGCAGACACGGACTGGGAGGGCGCCGAGCTGCCCGGCGCTGACCAGAACGCTCGTGGGCTCAGGCTGGGGAGCTTGGGTCTGGGAAGGCTGGCTGCCGGGGGACGGGGGACGCCCACCGTCACATCCCACAGGGTGTCTGACTTCAGGGCACAGCTCCGCAACTCCATGCTCCGGGAGGCACAGGCCAGGGCAGAGGTGCCTGTGAGAAGGGGTGAGGTCGCCAGTGAGGCCCTCAGTGAGTTCTGGGTGAGGGCTGGAGTGAGGCATCCTCTAGGGGCAGTGAGGCTCCGGTGAGGGCGGGCTGGGGGCAGGCTCGTGCGCGGTGAGGGCTCGGGCGAAGAGGCAGTGTGGTCTCCTGGCCGGCCAGGGTGAGGTCTCAGGCCGCTGCTAAGGTCTCCAGTGAGGCCAGGGGTGAGGCATCAGATGAGCCTCACGGGTGAGGGGTCGTTAAGGCCGCGGTAAGAACAGAGTGAGGGACAGGAAAGAGCGCCCTTCTATTCTGGGGGCTGCGGGAGGCACGATGCCACCCTGCTTCCCCCTGCCACCAGGGGGCAGCAGTGAGACCACACCGGCCCATGGCTGGTTTCGATGGGACCCTGGACTGGCAACAACCGGGCACCGGCAGAGGCAATTTCCCCGTGCTTTCCCTGGGTACTCCTCCTTTCCCCACTAGCTGGTCCCAGCAGGGCTGGCACTGGTACAAGAACAGACCAGAAGGAGGCAGAAGGGGTCGCCAGAAGTCAGGGCATCTGCTGTGACCAAGGGACCCACCTCTCAGGCAGAGGAGTCCTCACAGACCTGGGGCCTGGGAGAAAGAGCTCACTGGGTCCCTGGGGCAGTGGTTCTGGGTGAAAGCTACCCAGGCAACCATTCCCTAGGCCGCTCCGGTGCCCCAGGACGCTCTCCTGAAGTGTTCTAGTCTGCCACACTCCCTCTCCTCCTTCCCCTTCTAGATGCACGGGAGGAGCTGCTGCAACTCTGTGGGTGCATGGGAGGAGGATTAGGTGGGAAATGGAACAGGAGAGGTTAGGCAGGGAGGGAGCCATCTGTGGGAGCCATGAGCACCTGGCACACTGCCCCTCTTCCCGTGGGAGACCCTTGGCACCCTGGGGAAGGGGAGATGAAAAGCAGCGTGAGAAATCCAGAGAGCAAATGCGATGGGATGGGCAGAGGAATCCTGATGTGGGGCACCAGCCCAAGGGCTTCCCCCCTTCCCCCAGGAAGGCTGAGCAGGTGTAGGGTGAGACAAAGAAGAGCCTGTGGTGGCAACAATCTGAACGTGCTCATTAACTAGGGCAGGGGCACGACGGGAGGAACACCAGCCTAAGCACAACGCATCAGGTCTGAGGCCTGTCTCAGGCTGCTCCTGCAAACTTGAAAAAGTTCCTTTGTCTGTCAGGTCCTTGGTTTTCTCATCTGAGAAGTCAGGGGCTTGGCATAAGAGTCAATGCAAAGGCAGCTGCCTGGAGCAGAGTTGGAAAGGATGGGAAGAGGCATCTGGCTGGACCCAGGGTCTCCTAGAGGTCTCAGCAGGACAGAGGCAGAGGACTGAAGGCTGAGGTTATCCTTGGAGAAGGGTAGCCTTGCCCGGGTTCCTGGCTCCAGGGCCCCCTGGCCCCTGGCCCTTCCTATAGTTCGGTCTCCTTCTCCCCAGCAGTGAATCCTTCCTTCAGTGGGAACGGCCCACAGTCCTGGCCAGGCCCATTGTCCAGGTGTAGGTGTTGCCTGGGCTGTGGCAGGCTGGGATCGGGGATGATGAGCTGGCACAGGCGCTGCAAAGAGGAGAGGCATTGAATGCCACTGCCAGTGAGAGGGCCAGAAACCATCCTGCTGTGCATCCCCAGGGCCTAGTACAGAGCCAGGGACATGTAGATGAAGGAATGCACGTTTCCAGAAGGAAGAAGAGGCAATACATGGTGCTCGAGCTGTGAACTTCCCGGCTTCCAGGCCTGGCTCTGCTATCAACTACTTGCACAATTTTAGGAGCGCAATTTAATGTCTGTGCTTGTTAAACTTCCTGTGTCTAGGCTCCTTTATGTTACTGTTTGTGACTTAGTTTCCCCTTAGCCCTTCAGTGTTTTGCTGTTGGTTACCTTGCCCACATGTTCTGCTGGGGATCAGATTCTGAAGATGAGGATCCCATGACTTTTAAGTACATTTCTGAAATCAAGTCATAGGCTGGTTGTCAAAGGCCCTTTTGGTGGCAAGGCTGCCTCTGCTCAGAACAAGTGTGTGCTCTGGGCCAACTTCTCTTAGCACCCTCCTTCCCTGGGTCACCTCCCCTGGCCAACTGCCTTTTTTTTCCCTGTTTTTCTTTTCGGTACTGGGGATTGAACCTAGGACCTCTGCATTGAGCTACATCCCCAGCACTTTTAAAATTTATTTTAGATGAGGTCCCACTAAGTTGGTAGGCAGGGCTTGAAGTTTCAATCCTTCTGCCTCAGCCTCCCGGAATCCTTGGATTACAAGCGTGTGCCACCATTCCCGACAGCCACCTACCTACCTTCTTGAAGGAACCCTGGGTCTTCAGGAGGGTGATAACCATGAAGAGGGGAACACAGGCCATAGAGGAGAAGGCCAAGAACCAGCCAATGGAGTAGCCCCAGGGAGGGTAGACATAAACATTGTTGTATGTGAGCGGCGTGTGCTTGCTCAGGGAGAAGAGGAAGGTGGCCTGGAACGAGGAAGGGCAAGTGTGGGTGAGACAGGAGCATGGAGGTGTCCCCATATTTACACAGGCCAGGATGGAGGAGAAGCATCTGAGGTGAGACAGTAAAATTCACTGCAAATCATGGCCCCAGGCACCTCTCCCAAGGACCAGGGCAGGAAGAAACCCAGAGGCGGGGGTGGGGTGGGGGTGTGGAACTCAAGGCAGGCATCACGCCTTGGCTCCCTGGGTCTCCCGGTGACAGGAGGCAATAAGGGACAGGGGTGGGCACATACCAAGCAAAGTGCTGGGGTCAGGAAGAACCAGGAAATCTTCACCAGTGGCCAAGGCCGGTAGCCAATCATGTCCTCAATGTTGTCATAGAACCGGTCTGCCCCTGTCCAGGCACAATGCGGGGAGAGTGTGAGAACCAGAGGGGAAAAACAACTTCAAGGGCCTTTGGAGAAGACTCGCCTGGTTCGTGCTCTTCTCCACCCACCCTACGACAGGAAACTGGAACAGGCTACACGAATGCCATGCACTTCTGGCACCCTGCTTACTGGTGGAGGTGCAGAGGGGCACAGAGCAAGGGCTATCACTAATGAACCCTCTCTCGCCTCCCTGTCTAGCACACCCCAAAGTCCTAACTGCAGAAGAGTGGTGTGAGCCTAAATGCAAATGCTTGTTTACCTGTGTAGCAGAGAGGAATCTGGTTCGAGTCAAAACATCAAGGGTTCCCTCTGCTCAAGCATGTCATATAAACTCAGATGGGACTAGAAAGCTGCTGCTCACAAGCCAGCAGACACAGAGGAACCACATCTGAGTCTCCAGGAATGCATGATAGGAAGAGTGGTCTGGGTTTAGCAAAAATACTGACTTGTTTGGGCTTATTTTGTTTAATGACCTTAGGTTTCCACAATTACTTTATTTCTAGGCAGAGCCAGGCTCTCATTGGTAAAGCCCAGAACCATTCATTGGTAAAGATATTTGGAGAGCTCACTTACACCTCCCCAATACCTACTCACTGATCATGATGCTCGAAACCTCACAATACTGAACCACTGCTTTGACTTTTTTTTTTTTTTTTTGGGTACTGGAGGTTGAGCCAGGAGTGGGGGAAGCTTTACCACTGAGCTACATACCCAACTCTTTTAAAATTTTTATTTTGAGACAGGGTCTCAAACTTGAAATCCTCATGTCACAGCCTCCCAAGTAGCTGGAATTGCTCTGACTTCTAAAAGCCAAAGTTAAAAGTTGTGTGTTGCTGGGTGAGTGTAACATATTAAGGCTTATTAGCCGTCTACAGCTCACTGTGACTGCGTTTATCAGATCCTCTCTGAGAACAAGATTTGAAAAGGGGTAGGAGAAAACCAGGAAGACAGAAGACACTTGAGGAGAGAAGGTAAAAGACATCACCAAGGAGAGGAAAGAACACAAATAAGGCTTAGAGGATAACCAAATCATAAACCTCCCTCTCGTGGCTTCTCCTGAGACCCTAATATGTGACATCAACTTATTCTCTTTGCCCTGAGCCTTTGACATTAGCACTGTGTCCCCCCGCCCTGTGCAGTGGGACCAGCAGACCTGGGGTAGGATAATGGCTCCTCCACATGCTGTGTGAGCTTAGGCAAAAGCAACCTCTCTGAGCCTCACTGTCCCCTGCAAGGGCTGTGGTTTGGATAGTGTGATAGCATGTGAGACGGCACAGTGCTCGGCACACAGCAACCCTCAACAAATGAAGGCTTCTTCCCCTGCTGTCATCAGATGTGACGGGCGACAAGGGTAGTAAGGCATTCGGCATTACTGCTTAGTTATCTCAATGCCCGAGGCCCAAGGCTGTCGGTGGAAGTCAGTGGAAGGCAGAACTCACCTCACTCTAAGAAAGAAATGTGTAGTGGCCACAATGGGAAAGGCTACCCCAAAAATGATCTTCCTAGTGTGCAAGTATTCAAACTCTGGGTGATAGCATAGTTATTGGGAAGGGGAATGGGAGATGAGCTGCTGCTGCTGCTACTGTTACTTCTCTTTTTCAACAGTGTTGGAGATTGAACCCAGGGGCTACTGAGCTATATCCCCAGATTCCCCCGCCCCTTTTGGAGTCAAGGTCTAGCTAAATTGCCCAAGCTGGGCTCAGACTTGCAATACTGCTGCCTCAGCCTCCTGAGCAGATGGGACTACAAGCATACCCATCACAACTGATGGAATGCGGGAATTTGTGGGGGTCAGAGCATAGCCCTGAAGGTCCTTTCTGACCAAGGTTCCCACTGGTGAAGAGTCTCAGACAGCCTGCACTTCTAGAACACTGCGAGGTTATTTATCATTCCACTCTCTATTCAGAGAAACCCATTCCGTCATGGACTCAGCTCTACTGCCCCAGTGAGAGATGCCAGGCTTCCTGGCTATGGTTGCCCTTCCAGGACAATGAAGCAGGAAAGCATGGCAAAGACTCTCATCTCAGCAGATCCTCCCCCTGGCTGGGCCAGGGCATCTTCCTCCCCTGGCCCCAGCCACACTGCCCCCACTCACCGTACACCCAGCTGATGCAGATGACTTCAAATACGGAGAGAAAGAGCAGGCAGATGCCGCTGCAGGCATAGTAGTCAAAGAGCTGGAAGAGGTACATCCCACCCTGCAGAGGAGGGAGTGCAGTTGAGGACCAGTGGCTGGGGCCAGCGGACGTCCATCCTCTACAAGGTGCACGCCCATGTGGGATGCCATCCTGCACAGCTGCTGGGAAGTCATCACTCGCATCTAAGAGGAGTTTGTCCAGCCCGTTCTGTCTTCAGGCCCTCATTTGCCTCAGGACAATAATCCATGATGCCTGGGAGGACACTGGGATCTGTAGTGGGCACACATTGTTTTCTCTGCCCAGTGTCCTGACTTCTGGAAACTGGCACCACCTCACTCTGTCCCTCACTTTGCTCCAGGCCTGAATAAGTCACAGCCTGGACACTTGCCACACTCTCAAGAAAAATCCCTGTTGTTCTTTTTTTGGTTGTTTGTTTGGGTTTTTGGTTTTTTGGTACCAGGGATTGAACTTAGGACGTTGAGCTTGCCAGGCAGGTGCGGCACCACTGAGCACAACCCGGGCCAAAAAAGCCCTGTGTTTTGGCTGAGGGAAGAAAACGTATCCACGACACAGAAAGGAACATACCTGACATTAGCACAGCCTGAAACCAAAATACCCCTAGACTTTGCAGTGACCTGACCTCATATACTCCTCCTTCTGCTTCTGCCAGGTTTCTGGCACCTGCAACCAAAGGAGACCTAACAAATACAGCAGATTCCATTGCTTGCATGGCTGTGCAGCCTCTCTCTGAGAGAGGCCAAGGAAGTGTCCACACTCCACCTGACAGCTGAGGACAGCGACGCTGAGAAGGGTCTGCAGTGTCCTGTGGCTCTCTCCTGCCACAGCTACACCACAGACCGCCCACCACACTCACCTCGGTGACCAGCAAGAGCCCTACCAAGTAGCACATGATTGAGATGCCAAGGATCAGCAGCTCTCGCCGCCCACGCTTCCGGAGCTGCTGGGGGAACATGTCCACAGAGGCTGTCACCAGGCACTCCATGCAGACAAACTGCGGGCCAGGAGAGGAGTGGCGTGAGAGGGAGGTGGGGTGGGACACCGTCCTCCACATCGCCCATCTCCAGCAAGTCTTGCCCTGGCTTCTCTCCCTAGCTCCTGAGCACTGACACATGGGGTACAGGGAGGGCAGAAGGCAGAAGAGATAGCGTCTGCGGAAAGCCAGCCTGCTCCTGGCCACACTCCACAAGGAGGTCCCAGCAAAGAAGGCTGGAGGGCACAGATCCCAAGGCAGGGGCTGGGGATGGGCAGCTGGGGGAAGGCTGGAAGAACATTCTGGGGGAGTGGCCAAGTATGGGGAGGCTTGAGCCTTGGGAAGAAAGTGGACAGAGGAAGTCTCAAGGCCTGGGGCCACCCACCCAACCCCAAGCAAAAGGCCAGGACAATGGAGGGGACCTAAGAAAGGAAGTGAGGGAAAGGTAATGCCAAGATATACAGAAGCTAGAAAGGAGGTCACCAGGGCAGAGCGGGGCTGGGGTGACGTACCTGGCTGTCCAGGCCTAGGAATAACAGCATGATGAAAAAAAGGCAGGACCACAGCTGGGATAAAGGCATCATGGTCACAGCCTTAGGGAATGCGATGAAGGCCAGACCAGGACCTGCAGGGACAGAGCACCCTCAGGTGAGCTCCTGGTTCTTGCTACCCTCGCTCCAGCCCTCTCCTCAGGATTGCTCACATTTGTTGTGTCTCTCTGAGCATCCATGTGTATCCATTTGTGTCTGTGTGCATCTATGTATCTGTGTGTGTCTGTATGTGTCTGCATGTTTATGTGTCTGTGTCTGTGTGTGCCTGTGTGTATCTGTGTGCATGTCTGCATATATGTATGTGTGTGTGTGCACACGGGTGTGACATGGGGGATGCTCCAGGAGGGTGGAATGAGTCCGTCCATTATTAACATCATTAACAGAGCAGACAGACATCACTCATTTGGCCCGTCCACCCGCCTCTTCCTTTTCCCTCCGAGGTTCTGGAAGCCCTGCTTTGTTCCATGCTCTGCCCTCAAGGCTAAAAGATTCCTGCTGCCCGGCTCTCTGGGACCCCAGCCTCTCTGCTGGGGGGATCTGCATGCTGTGATTCTCTTCCCCTGCCCTTCAGAGCCCAGGCAGCATAAGGACACCTACCTGACTCGGCCACTTCAGAAATGGGCACTCCCTGCTCCTGGGACATGAAGCCCAAGATGGAGAAGACCACAAAGCCAGCCACAAAGCTGGTGACACTGTTCAGGAAGCAGAGGGCGATGGAGTCCCTGCAGGAATGGGTAAATGCAAAGATGAGAAGGAACCCGTTGTGGGAGGAGAGATCAAAAGACAGTAAGAGGGTGAAAGAGAGCAGAGGAAGGGAAAAGGAGGGTGTGGAAAGGAGGTTGGAGAAAAAAGGACCAGGGGTGTTTGGGTGGGCAGTGCTTGGGTATCAGGAAGAGGAGAGGAAGAGGAGGGGGAAGAACTCCATCTGGGAAGGAGCCACAGTGTCAGGCTGACACAGCTTGCCACACCCCGGGCCAGGGCCCCACCCCCCTCAGCACCCAGAGAGGCCAGGTTACCATGGCCTACACAGCCCCACCAGCTCTCACCTGTAGCAGTTGTTGTGGTACTTGTTGTAGCTGCCCAGGGCCGTGAGGCAGCCCTGGCAGATGGCAAAGGAGAAGAAGATCTGGGTGCCTGCGTCCATCCACACCTGCATGAGGCCCAAGAAAGTGGTAGACGGGGCAGGGGGCATGGCCAGGGCCTGGGGCCGGCGTGGGCAGCAGCAGACCTTCCCCACAGCAGAGCTGCCCCTTGGCATCCCCGAGAGTCACACCTGTCTTACTGCCATGAACCTGTCCTCCCTTCTCTCCACAGGGCCTTCTCACAGGCAAGGCCCCTTCTCAGTCTGGTTGCAGGGGCACTGCCGAGACACTGGATACATGTGCGCTACTCACACTGTCCCCAAGACAGCAAGGCTCATCTGCAGAGCTAAGAGTCACTTGCATTCATTCAACTAGTGCACATTGATTGAACTAATGTATACATGTAGCACCTAAGGCAGCGGTGACCTGACACAGAAGCCACTTCATAGAAACAAAATGAAAACCACTGAGGCTTCAGTGGGACAGGGGACAAAAATGTGCTCAGACAAGTTCTAGAGGAAAAGCAAATGGGTACTCAACATATGGGAAGTGTCCAACCTTGTCCATAATAAAAAATTAAAGCTATAAAGTTAGACTACTTAGACCAATTAAGTTATCAAAGACTAAAATAAATTACAATCAAATATCACAAGGCCCCTGCAGAAAGAAGTATATCCTTGATCAGTGGCAGTAAAAATTACATTTCCCTAACTCAGAACAATTGGCCCTTCATATCCATGGGTTTCACATCCAAAGTTTCAACCAACCATAGATAGAAAATATTCAGGAAAAAATTATATCTACACTGACACATACAGACTTTTTTCTCTGTCATTATTCCCTAACCAGTATAGTATAACAACTATCTGTATAGCATTTCCCAGGTAGTAAGTACTCTAAGTAATCCAACTGTGATCTAAGGTGTACAGGAAGATGTGCAAAGATTATATACAAATATTGTGCCATTTTAAATAAGTACCCTGAACCTCAGAGGGATTTGGTATTGCAGACACTCCCTCTCAGATACTGAGAGATGACTGCATATTTAAAAATAAGTATCACCCAACTGTCTGAGGCCAGGGTATGAGCTCTGAGGAGGGCAGAGAGATGGCCAGTTGTGTCCATACCCTTTCCTGCCACTAGAATATTAATGCATCCTCAGTACACTTTTCTTCAATAAATGAATGAAGGATAGATGGAGGAAACATTATACAGATGTTAAAAATGACATTTACAGGGCTGGAATAGAGCTCAGTGGCACTGTGCCTGCCTAGCAAGTACAAGGTCCTGAGTTCAATCCCTAGTACTGGGGGGGGGGGGAAGACATTTACAGATGTCAATTGCTAGAAAAAAGCTCATAATGTAAGTAACAAAGGGATATATGTCTCTAAATATAATGATCTCAACTATGCTAAAACACACACCACCTAGAAAAAAAGGTTGGAATAAATAAACTAAAATGCAAAGAGATTATATATGATTATAAGAGATTTTGGTTCCTTGTTCAGTTTCTCTTGTGTTATCTAATTTTTCTCCATTGGGCATCTATTGCTTTTAAACCAAAGTTAAATTAGTAGGAAACTTTCAAAGTCTTGGGGCAGAAGACACTTGTGCCAGTGGTCCCCACACATGCCCACCTGGGGGTCCCTGAGACGGAGCAGGTCTGGCTTCAGGTAGTAGATGATACCCTCGTAGGCTCCGGGGAGAGTGACACCTCGGATCAGCAGGACAATCAGCATGAGGTAGGGAAACGTGGCCGTGAAATAAACAACCTGGAGGGAAGCCAGGCAAGGGCACTGCTGGTGCGGACCCACTGCCAGGAGGAGGACTTCTCCGGGAGTCCTGCCCCCTCCCCAGGCAGCACAGTCTCACCACGCTCCCTGCCAGGCTCTAAGCCCACAGAGACAGCCGAAGGGCTGAGCAGGAAAACTTTCCACACCTCCCTATGCACATTCCAGTGGGTCTTACTGCCCAGCGGAGGGCGAGATACACATCAGCGGGGTGGGGGAGGGGCTGAGGAGGGGTGACATTTCCAGCCCGTAACCCTTCACAGACTATTTTAAAATCTAGACTCGGGCCTGCCTCAGTCCTTTATCCTGGCTCTCCCCATGGCTCCATGGAAGGCAGGACAACTCCAGGCAGTGGGGTGACCAGATTTGTACGGTGATCTGTGAGGAGGTTTCGACCGTACTTTTCCAGGCTTACAGTTGGGGGAGTCCTGGTGGCCTGAGCACCACGTCCCCAGACACAAAAAGGGGCCCCCACTCTGCCGAGCCAGGCTCAGCTCCCCACCTAACAGTAGCCTTGTCTGTGTCATTGTTACTACTGCTGTCGTTCTTATTATTACTGCTGCTTTTATTTTTACAATTCTGGGAAAGGGAGGCTGCTCTGGGAACAGCCAAAAGATAGGGCTAATGGGAACAGTCAGCTCCCTTCCCTTTCCTGACTCACGCAGCATGAAGCACCAGCCTCAGCCCTCTGGGGTGGAAATGATGTTCAAACCTGAATTTTCTCTGTAGAACAAGACACTGCTGTCCATTCCTGGGCTGAACCCCTTCAGTGACTAGCAACTTACCACCCCAAAGACAATTCTGTTTCCTGATTCATACTAAAAATTGTCTTGTTATTAAATACAAGCAAGCTGCAGGATATGTAACTGTGTAATACATCCATGCAATGGATCCTGACACATACCTACACACACGCGAAAGAAACAAGGGAGAACAGAGCACAAGCCAGCAAGGATTAGAAGACCAAACCTGCCATCAGGCTCATACAGTGATTTACTCCAACAGTGGGGCTTTTAGGGTTTTTATTTTGCTCTGAATATTTACTTACATAAACAAGTCTTTTACAGTCTGCTAAAAAGAAAGACTTTTCTTGTATTAAGCTAAACTCTACCTCCTATGACTTTGCCTGTTCTCACCCTATCTCTCCCTTAAACAACTCTTTCCTTCAGCTCTCCAGAGGGACCCACTCAAGTGTCCCCAAGGACTCTGGGCCACAGAGCGCTTACCAGGGGCCAGACTCCTCACCTTGCCCGTGGACTTGATCCCCTTCCAGATGCAGAAGTAGCAGATGATCCAGGCCAGCAGGAGGCACAGGGCCAGCTCCCAGCGCAGGGCCCCCAGGTCATGGATGCCCGAGGTGATTCCCAGAACCCGTCTCCTGGTGAATTGGGAAAAATAAATCACCAGATGAGAAGCTAAAAGCAACAATGTGCCTCTGTCACCAAGTCTCCTGATTCACAGAACTGACCCACAGATCTCATATCCCAGGGCTCCCCCCGCCCGGCCTCCCGACCTCTCCCGCGGCCATGCCATGTTCCCACCTGTGGCCTGTATGGCCCTGGCTGTTAGAAGACCAAATCACCGTAATCCCATAGGTATCTGTGTCTTTCTAACTCATCCCGATTTCTCTGTTGTACAGAGAGATAAAGAGAGAGATGGGGGGGCGGTGAGGATGTATGAACAAGTGCACAGAGAGCGGATATCTACAGATGCAGGGCGATCAGCAAGAAGACGCCGTCAGGGGAAGTGTGGGCCGTGGGTTAGGACCTAAAGGAGTGTATGGGGTGAGACAAATATGTGTGAGTAGAGAGGGTTATGCAACTGAGAGTGTGCGTGTGAGGGTACGCAAATGTTGGTGAGTGTGTGTGGGTAGGGTTGGTGCAACAGGTAGGAGGTGGAGGAGGAGATGCGTGCAGTCGCGTGGGAGGGTGAACATGTGAGCGTACCTCCTTCTGTGGCATAAATCTTCTACCCTGGCTGACACCGAGTGCCAACAGGACATCACTGCACAGAGTTTGGAAGAGATACAAACAGTCAGCTCCCTAAGGCTACACGGGCTGGAGGGAGTCTGGAGTGGGGTACATGGGAGGGCGTAAGGGCACGTAGGTGGGAAAATGGTAGTCCAGGGGGACGCATGTGGGTTTGAGCTAAATAAGTGGGTGCAGGTGAGAAGGCATGGGTGGGTATGAAGCTGCCCCCTCATCCCTCAGTGTTGTGGGGCCAGAGTAGGGGTAGGAGGTGGGAGAGTGCTAGAGAGCATGCACGGAGTCTGAATCTTGCACCCCACACATTCACACTTGCACAGCTCAGACATCCAGACTTTCTGCTTAGGGCCCCCTGCCATGTGGCAACCAGGCCCAGCACCTACTCCCAGAATTCCATGACAGCAGAGGTGAGGTTCTCAGAGTAGGTCACTGTGCTGGCTCCCGAGTGGTTCAAAAAGTCCACACAATGCTCTGTTGGGGACATAGTGGGGTGCATCAGTGAGGGGCACAATGGGGACAGATGCCCTCATATTCTGGTCTCTGACTCTCTGGCCTTATAATAAGAGCTTCCTGCCATCCCTGACTTGCCCACTCTGTCCCCCATGTCTCCAATCTACAGACAAGGGACCAAGTCCATGTGTGCTCTTCTCTGGCATGGAATCCTATCCAATGTGGGCCATTCCATCCTTCACTCCTCCCTCCCATTACTATAGAGTTCTGTACTGTTTCTTTTTTCCCATGGTGATGGGTACTTATTTTATTCTTTTTGTTTTGTTTTGTTTTGTTTGGTTTGGTACCGGGGATTGAACTCGGGACCTTGTGCTTGTGAGGCTGGCAGCAGAACCACTGAGCTAAATCCCCAGCCCAGTACTTACTTTATTGATTTGTCTGTTTCTACCACTAGACTGTAAACTCAGTGAGGAGAGTCCACAGTGCCTTGCTCAGCCTTGGCACAGCAACGGCACATAATGGGTGCCCAGCAAATATTTGTCAAGTGAATAAATAAGTAGGCAATGACAATGGCCTGCAGTTGCATAACCTAGTCCTACCAGATTCCCATATCCACACTAATCCTTCCCGAGGCTGGCCCAAGGTCCCGAAGGAGGGACAGCCAGAAAGTTCTGCCATGTCCTTTCATCATATCTGGCCATCACCCGACACCTAGTTTAGAAGGAAAGACCCCATCCCAGGGCAGAAAAGATGGGCACCTGTGTTCCAGGGATTGGTACATGTTGTCCAGGGCAGCTCGGAGGTGAAGGAGCTGAACAAGTAGAAGAGTGCCCAGGCCAGGATGATGATGTAGTAGATATTCAAATAGGACTCAATGACCACGGATGCTATGCCAATACCTTGGGGGTGGGGGGTGGGGAGACCAACATTAGCAAGAAAGTCACACAGAAACAACCAGTTGTGCTAGCTGTCTTTGGTACTACACAAAGAAAACCACCAGGGCTTATTCACCCTCATGAGAAGCTGTTCACAGTACGTTTTTCTAAGTAAGAAATATGGGTTACAGATCACTACCATAGGCATTTCCTCATTTTTATAATGTGTATTTGAATATATTTTTTCATGAGAAAACTCCAGAAGGATCTCCCGTCTCCAAATTACTAAGTAGTTCTCTAAGTGATAAGATATCAGTTCTTTTTCAAGTTTTTTCTGCCTATCTGCATTTTCTATTTTTCTATTACAATCATATACTGCTAGTAAAATGAAAAGGGGCAGGCAAACTAAATAGTAATGAGGGGGAGATAGTAAGAATCAGGCTGGGGATAAGAAAAAGCAAGAAACCCTCCGAGAAGAGTGGTGACTTCATGTCGAGAACTGAAGCCCTGTGCTGTTTAGGCACTTCTCACTCAGGCTCCGGTTCGTGGGTACACTTGGACTCCTCAGTGGAAACAAACATGTGCTACAAAGCTGGAATCTTGCACAGTCATTTAAGAAGTAGCATGTTAGCTGGCTAGAGTGGCACATGCTTATAATCCCAACACTGAAGGAAGCTGAGACAGGAAGATTACAAGTTTGAGCCCAGCCCAGGGAACTGAGTAACTTAGTGAGACTCTGTCTCAAAATAAAAAGTACAGTAAAAAGGGATGGGAATGTAGCTCAGTGCAAAAGCCCTGGGTTGAATCTCCAGTAACACTAAAAGAAGAAGAAGGAGCAGGGAGAGAAGGAGAAAAAGGAGAGAAAGGGAGGAGGGGGAGGAGGAGGAGAAGGAGGGGGGGGAGGAGGAGAAAATGGAGGAGGAGGAGGGATAGTGTGGAACCCTGTGGGGAGTGGGGAGGGACTAGGGCCCGCCCGCCCAGCCCTCCATCCCCTTCCCCACTTGTTTGTGCAGAGCAGTAATAGATGCTACTTAGTGGAAAACTATGGACCTGAGGGCTGGCGGATGTCAACAATGGTGACTGAGAGCCAGACTTCCTGTGCCAGAAGAGCCCACTGGGATGGTCCTTTCTGATTGGCTTGGCAAAGAATAGGGTTCCCTGTAGTGGCCTCCCCAGCATCAGGCATCAGGCTCTGCAGGAGGGGGGAGCCCCTGGGCTGCCATGGGATGGCTGAGGGATCCCTGGGCAGCAGCAGGGGCAGCCTGTGGGATATTTACAGCACACACAGGCACCCAGTCATGTTCATAAACAAGCAGCTGCTGCACTCCCAAGGGCTTAACCGGAATGGACAGGGCAGAGATCGGTCTGGTAAACACTGGAGCCCCGGCCTGGAGTGGGGGGCACGATTCCAACAGTACTGGCTGCCCAAGGGGCAGGGAGGCAGGAGTGAAGGGGGACTCAGAAGCTTGTGTGAATGCAGGGTGAGGAGTGAAGGTGGGGGTGGAACGTGGGAGTGAGTGGGCTGTCGGGCAGCACGCAGGTGGAGAGCAGCAGGCAAGGCCCCACCAGCAGCACACACACCCTGACAGCACCTCTCCCAGAGCGCCCAGGCCCCTAGGGAGCCTGGAAACTTGGAAAAGGAAGGAGCAGCCATCTCTCCCCCAACCCTGTCCAGTGCCCATGCTGTCTGACCCACCCCCACAAGGCAGCCCACTTGTCTGGAGAGGCCAGCCCTGCTAGTGCTATCCAGGAGCTTGACTGGCCTGGAGACAGGACCCAGCTGGGACTACTGCTGGGTCTACACCAGAGCATCAGGACACTTGCAGCACCCTGAACTCATGAGCAGAGACATGGTGGCCACGCTCCACCCTGCCCAGCCCTCCCCATTCCTCTTGCAGGGTCCCCCGGCCTTGCCTTCCCCCATCCAGTGGGGCGCCTGGCCTGCTCAGGAGCCAGTGCGCCCCCTCCATGCCCACCTCTGTTCAGCACATTCAGTCTGGCCCCTGCCTGATAGCCTGGTGCCTGGGGCTTCCTCGGGCATTGGGAAAGAAGAGAAACCCTCTCTGTGTTTCAAATCTAGAAGGAACCTCCCAGGGCCAGGGGACCCTTGGGCATCTCACTGGCCCCCGTGGAACTGGCCCCATCACCTAAAGAGGGACAGGGGACGAAAACCCCGCCGGCTCACATTAGTGCCAACAGAGCTAGAGCACTAGGAGGAGGAGGGGTCTCTAGGACAGTCAAGAGAGGAAGAGCAAGGTAGACAAAGCTTCTGTGAACGACCCTATTTTCCTTATCTACAAAATGGCTCAATCGAGTTCCTGGAGAAAACACAGACAAGGTGCTTACCTGAGCCTGACCCGGGCTAGGGCCCCACAGATGCTAGATAGCACCATGGTCATTGCTCCTCCCATCACTCTCTGGAGCCCGTCTGGACCATCCCATAATACTCACACAGACCCCTTCCAAGCTCTGCGCCTCAGCTCATATTTGTAACTTTGTGCTGTTTCTCCTGAAACATGTCTTCCTCCCCAAGCTTTATGAGCTTTGGGCCCCACAAAGCCTGATTGTGCAATTAGCACAGCATCAGATGGAGGGGATGAGCGGTAAGGAAGGGAAGGACAGAGGAAGGGCATCCCCTAGGGAGCGGAGGGAGGAGGCTCACCCTGGAAGAGGGGGCAGATCTTCCTCCAGGCTGTGACACTTCCCTGGCTGGTGTACTGGCCCAGCGCCACCTCCAAGAAGAACACTGGGATGCCGCAGCTGAGGAAGAAGATGAAGTAGGGTACAAAGAAGGCTCCTGCAGAGGAGAGAGAGGCCAGAGCTGAGCCACACCTCGGCCCTGTCACCCCAGGCCCTCCTAGCACCCTGTCCTGCAGCATCTGTATCTTCAGCCCTCCTCCCACAAACCTCTTGGCCCAAGTGGGCAAAGATGCTCTGACCTGAACTGTGTATGAGGTGGAAGGGAAACAAATGAACCTTGTGGCGGAAATCCCAATCCATACACTGTTTTCTCAGTGTGCTTTACAAATCCAGTCAATGTATTATTTTTGGAACAAAAACATGTGGTGTGTCTAATACGATGTACTTATGAAATTATCAAATTTGGTACATTCCAGAGAAAAATAAACAAGCAAAAACACCTTGGAAATATTACTTTCCCACTTGTGATTTTGGAGGTTGTCTCTGGTCTGCACGGGCTCTAGCAGAGAAGGTTGCCATGCAGCTAGGGTTAGGCGCTGGCCTACAGGCACCAGGGGGAGCCAGGCAGGGGACGGCCAGGGATGGAGGCACCGCCAGCCCAGGGCGCCCTTTGGGCACGAGTCTCGTGGCATCCTCTGCAGCTCAGAGGCTCAGCCGTGAGTGTGTGGGTTCTTGCTCACTGCCCAGTTAGCACGCTCAGCACCTATTTGCTGCTTACTGTGTGTCATACCCTCTTCTAAGCCTTCACCAACATGAGAGCCTCACAAAACAGCTTCTCGCGGTTAGGTACTGTTGTCCCCATGTCACACGTGAGAAAATCGAGGCCAGGTTAACAAGACAAAAATGGAGGCCTAAACGACATAACAGAAGCACCAACCCCGGCAACTGCATCCTGAGGCTGTGCCCCTCACCTCAATATCACAATGCCTCTGAAGTAATCCCACTTATTGTGTAGAGAAATAGAAAGTACAGATGGAAGGAAAGGACAAAGCATTGCATATTCTTTCTTTGTATCCTGAACCCTTGCACATGTTAGGCCTGTGCTATACTAGTGAGACTCACTTCCAGCCTCCTTCCAGACTTCTCATAAGCACACATATTTCTTCTTTGCAAAAATGAGAACCTGCTATGTATTATCTGGTAACCATTTTTAGATTTTATATCATGAACCTCTTCCTATCTATAAATACATATCTATGCCATCATTTTGATAGCTGCATAGTATTCTACCCCATGGAATTCTAGTGCATTTCATCAGTACCTTATCACTACAGGTGTCAGTTGTTTCATTAGAAACATTGCCATTATTCTAGTGAAGACCACTGTCCATATCCCTCTGTCTTATCCACAAATTTCCAACAGAGGAACTGCTAATCCCAAAGGTATGCACTTTTTTTGCTTTTATGTGTGTGGTTAAATACATGTATATGTATATGTGCCCCCTGACTATTTGTAAGTGTACAGTTTAGTGGCATTGAGCACTTGCACCATCATCGTCATCCACCTTCAGAACTTTTTTGTCTTGCCAAACCAAACCTACACATGCATACAGTAACTTCTCTTCCCCTCCCAGCCCCAGGCAACTGTGACTCTTTCTATCTCTGTGAATTTGCCTATCCTACGCACCTCACACAGTGGAATCAGGTAGTAGTTAGCCTTTGGAATTTGGCTTATTCCACTTATCATATCTTCAAGATTCATCCACATTATAGCATGCGTCAGAGTTCCTTCTTGTAAAAGGCTAAACAATATTCCCACCATACTTTGCTTAACCATTCACCTGTTGATGTCCACCTTTGTGGCATGCACTGTTTTGGGTTTTTTTGTCTTTTTTTTTTTGTTTTTTGAGACAAGATCTTGCTATGTAGTTCAGGGTAGCCTTGAATTCACATGTAGGCCTGGCTGGCTTCGAACTTATAGTAATCTTCTTGCCTCAGCCTCCCAAGAATGCTGGGATTACAGGCATGTGCTAACAAGCCTGACTTCTATGCTCATTTTTAAAAGGTCTTAAAAAAATAAAAAAATAAAAGGTCTTTGTCATGCATTTCCCATTGTCCTCCCAAACTCCTAAACCAAGCTGTTCTTCCAATAGCTATGTGTGAGAATAAAGGACTTGTGTCTTCTGGGCCCCAGGGAGCCACAGCAAGCTCCTAACTCTCCACTGAGGCTGAAGTCTTAGTTAAGTACACATTTGCCTTTTCAGAGCATTGCTAAACATACTAGCTCGGGTTTGCATTGCTTGGATGGTCACAGTGCTAGGCTGAGGGGCAGTGTTCAGGAAAAGTACCCCAAGAAGATACTTGATAGAAGCCTACAGGCCTCTTCCCAGAGCTGTGGAAGGTCCTGCCCTTTAACAAAGGAGGTAGCTTCAGTGCTGTCCTTGGGCTGCAGACTTTTGCCCCAACAGAAGATGGGGGGACTCAGGAGGCCCAGAGCTGGCCTCCCTCAGCGTGGTCCCCAGGTCTGAATCTGTGGGGAGGAAGGCGGTAGTCTCTGGATAGAGTGTAGGGGTATCCTCCATCCCCAGCTTTCTGCTGGGGTCTCCCACACCAGTGCTATGAACACCCTCCCCTTAAATGAGTCTGCCAAACCCTTTCCATAGAGGTGCCCTTGGTCTGAGTACTCTCGGGGTCTGTCCAGGGTACAGACATGAGCGGGCTAAGGTGTCCCACAGGGATCTCTGCAGACAGGTACTTGATGTTTGCGGTTAAAACCCTCCCCCTGAGCTATGCCTTACTGTCCCTTCCAAGTGTCTTTCCTGAACCACTAACAGTGTCAATAGTCCAAATTTCATATAGTTATAGTTTGAGGTAAACCGTTTCTTCAGGGTGATCTAGTTTTGAGGCTGTCTTTTTTTTTAACAGATAACTATATTAGATCAATAACCTTATTTTTTCTATGCTTTTGAAAGATTTCTCTATAGAACTGTTGATTAACTATACATATATTAGTAAAAACCATATTTAACTGCTAATCAGGCCTTATAGTCAACTTGATCTCAACCTGATTAGCACAATGAATGAATACCACTCCAGCCTACAGCAAAACAATTGGCATGAAAAAAAAATTGACATGTGAATTAATCTATGATGTCATGTTCTTTAGTCTCGCCACTTCACAGATGCCCCAGCTCAGGCACGAGAGCCTGAGGCCCCAGCACCTAGCCCTCATGCTCTGTCCTTCTGGGTGGCAGAGTGACATGCATACAGGGATGGGAGACCAGCTGCCTCGCTGCATAGTCCAGCTAGCTCTGGGTGGGGGAAACATCCTCCTCCGTGACATGAGGGCTGGGGCCGGCTAGCCCTTAGCGCTGCCTCTGGAATCTCATATGTCCATGACACTGTGTCTTGGGACAAGGAAAGAAGCCACCACCCCTTTCCGCCTCCCTAACCTCTGGCCAGTGCCGGTCTCCCCCTCCACTCAGCACCACAGCCCTGACCCACAAAATCCCACAGCTGTTTCCTTGCACTCCCAGGTTCAAGAAGTTTTTGAGAACAACTCTAAGGTTTAAAACACATAGCAAGATACATAGTGGACATTTGGTAAATATTTGTTCAATCAAATATGAATAGTGTCTGCAAGGGTTTTCTAAGCAATGGTTATCTCTAAATGTTAGAGTGCCCCTTCTTTTTTTACCTTCCTGGAATACTTCTGATATTTATGACAAACATGTATCAAATCTGCAAGAGGAATAAAGCTAATTTCAAGAGGTAAAAATGAATCTGACCAGTCCCAGAGCAAGCCAGAGTAAAGTGTTTCATTGACAGGAAATGGCTCCAGTAGACAGACACATAGAGATAGACAGCAAGTTAGTGGTTTCCAAGAGCTATAGCAAAAGGAAGTGGGGAGGAGGGGTGAGTACTACTGGGCATTAAATCTTCAGAATGCGGAAAATTTTCTAAAATTGTGGTGGTGGTTGCCCAATTCTGTGAATATTCTAAAATCTATTGAATTGTGAATTTTAAAAAATAATGTGACCCCTCTGCCCCATGATGCTGCTAATTTTTACTATTAGGACTGTACAACGATAAAATTATGTTTCTTTCATTTGAAAAAAAATCATAGACAAGCAAGCTATCATTTCTCCAATTAGAATTCTTTCATGGCTCCTGTTTACTCAAAACAAAGCCTTCAGCATCTGACTCTGTCACTTCTCTGAGTTCATTCCCTATTATCTTCTCATTCCACTCCCTGCTGCCTCCTCACTGTTGATCAATTGTGCAGTTGCCCCAGGGCCTTTGCACTTGCTGCTTCTCTGTCAGAAATATTCTTCCTTCCTTATTCATGCATAGGACTCACTCTTTCACCATATTAAGTCTCTGCTCAATGTTACTTTCTCAATAAAAACCTTTCCTGGTCACCCTGTTTCACATTTCAAACCCTTCAGCCCCCCCCCCATGATCTGGTATTCCCTATCCCTCCTCCCTCTTTACTTCTCATTCCTCCACTCATCACCATTTGACATACACATTTTTCTTGTCTGAGGTCTGCTCACCTTCACCAGAATGGAACACACAAAAAGCTCTGTGCTGTGTCTAGAACACTGTCTGGCATGTGACAGGTGAAATAACAGTAGTTGAATGGATGAATGACTTCTACCAGCCACTGACATTTCCATAGAGTAATAAAGAAGCTTATCAAAAGCCCTAATTCCCTGGTCCTATCTGTTGCCTCATTTAAACATCACTGTGAGGGACACTGAGGCTCTGCTGAGCCCTCCAACTTCATGACAGACCTACTTCCGTTTCACCACACTGCCCAGGAAGTGGGGCTCAGGTGGCACTGCCCAGCTGTCAAGGCACGACTCCCCACCACGCCTACCTCCAAGAGAACTCACCACCTCCATTTTTGTAGCAGAGATAGGGAAACCTCCAGACATTGCCCAGCCCAATGATCTCCCCGGCCACTGACAGCACAAACTCCATCTTGTTGGTCCATTGGCCCCGATCCTTCACCTGGTCCTTGCCTTCCCGGTCCAACGTTTCTCCTTCCTCAGGGATCCAGGAGACCTCATCCTTGTGGATTGCCACTTTCCTGTCCATAGCCCTGCCTCGGACAGTGAGACCGCACAGGGTAGGACAGGAGGGCTTGAGAGGCAAAGCCTGGAGAAGGAGACAAGGAGCTGTGAGCCCCATGCGTACCCCACCATCCCTGCCATCCCCGTGGCCAGGCTTGGCTCTTGGAATGTTGCTTGTCTTCCCAAACTCTCTGGCATTTCCACTTCTCAGAGTCATGAGACAAGGACCAAACAGGGAGCAAATCTTGGTTTGCTGCATTCTGCACATGGGAAAATCAGGGCTTGACAGATAGAATGAATGATAGGAGTACGGCTGAGATTAAAACCCAGGCTTGAGGCCCTTAATTTCAAGTGCCTTTTGATCTCTGCAGCCAACCACCATCACCGCAAGCCTGTCTGCCCAGATCCCTGGTCTGAGAGACACTAGGCCAGCCTCTGGCCTACAGGCAGAAGGGATCTGAGACTGCCAGGGTCAAAGAGTGGGTGTGCATGCTGCTTTCTGGCCAGGTGGATGCTCAGCCTGTTGATCAGCACAGCATACACAAGGGGCCAGTTTCTCAGGTGCTGATGAGGAGGGAAGGTGGGCCTCTGAACCAGCCAGATGGGGATGAGGATCAGCACCAGGGCCTAGTATGGGCCTTTGAAGGAACCCGTTCCCTTTTCCTCACATGCCTCTCTATCCTAAAAACACTTGTGGGTCTGGTGCCAGGAGGGACAGCAAAGCAATTATCACTGAGTGATGGTCACCCCTAGAAGACCCCAGGGCAACCCCCTGACTTGTTCCCTCAAGAGGGGCACCCAGCTGGGCTGCCCATGAGACAATCACTGTCCGCCCTCCCTGCATCCTGCAGAGCTCAGAGCTCCTGGATCCTCCAGCAGAATTACGTGGGGCCTCAGCGTTATTTTCTGTCCTACTCCTCTGCCCATTGCCAGGAGGTAAGTTGGATCTGCCTTTTCCCTCCCCTCTCACCCCCGAGTCAGCCTGAGGCCACCTCTGCCTTTTACCCAGGGAAGTCCCCAGGGTGGTGCCCGGAATGCAAGGGCCGGGGGAAGTATACACCCCCACCTCTCCTCTCCAGTGGGTGCTGGGGGAATCACAGCAATCAAGTCTGTGGAGAGCTTCACACTCCTCTGAGGCTCTAGGGAAACACAGGGCATCTTTTCATTAAAGAAGAGTCTGTTTATTTGTTGGTTCTTTTAACCCAGGCAACAGCCCAAGCTCAAGTCAGTTAGAGAGGTGTGGGCGGGCACCATAGGAGGTTATGGAAATTTTTGAAGGTGACTTGGAGGGTAGAGGTTATCCCAGGAATGGAAATGTGTGTGGGGATGAAGTGCTGGCGCTGGTGCCACTCAGAGGCTTCTGTTGCAAGTTCATCCCAGAAAGAGGATGGGGAGGGTCACAGTGAGAATCAGGTTGTGGGCCTCCAGGGGGAGAGAGGAGAGGAGAGGAGGGAGGGAAGGGTGCTCCAGTTGGAGCGAGGGGAGGGGGCGTGTTAAGAATCAGACCACAGGAGCCTGGCCCCAGAAGAAAAGCCAGGAAGCTCACCTCAGACGTGGACATTGCTCCTGAATGGGAACTGGGGCAGCCAGGGCCCCCGAATCTTTCCCAAACAAATGAATAAATAGATGAAGGAGCTGAAAACACTTCCACAAAAAACACAGACAGGAAACCTATGTTCTCATTGACTTAGCTCACTAAAGTAATAATAAAAGGTCAACATTTGAGTAAGCGCTGCGCTAAAAACAAACAGATCCTTATAGTACATTATTAACTCTTATCCCCATAGCAGTCTGTGAAGTTGGTATTCCTGTCAGCTCCACTGCGCACCTGAGGAGCTGACACTCAGAGATTAGAGAACAGCACAGGGAACCTAGCAGCCAGGTGCTCAGTGAGACCGTTTTCAATGGTGGAATAGACTTACCAAGACAGTACGTGGTGGCCTGAGGCCTGCTGTGTGATCTTGGCAAATCACACCTCCTCTCTCAGCCTTAAATCTTCCTGAGAGAATGACCCCTGTTCAACAGAATGGTGGAAGAGTGGGAGCATAAACATGAGGTCCAGAAGAAACGAGAAGTTAGTCTTGCTCACAGGCCACAGGGCAGCTCAGCTCAGTGCCAGTCCAGACGCAGGCTCCCCGGGGAACGCTGGAGACCAGCCTCACTGTTCCCAGACCAGAGGGGCTATTGCCAGAGCAAGGTCCTCACTGCCTGGAGGAGGGGACTTGGGAGAAGAGTAAATGAAGGGAAAGCTGGAGGACAGCAGGAGCAGGAAGTCCCTGAACCCAGCTGGGGCCCCAGATTTGAGTTTTATCAAGAATGAGGGAGGAAAGGGAAGCGAACATGAACTGATGAACTGACACAGACATAGCATGCTATTTTTTTTTAATAAAAGGATTTTTGGGAGGAGTGTAACTTGTGGGTAAGAATGAAAAACTGAAACAGTGAAATAAAAGCAAAAGCGAGTGAAAATGAAAGCAGGCCCAGAGCCATGGTAAGTCAAGAGGAAATAGGCTGGAACTGCAGCAAGAGGGGCTGAAGTTAGACCCTAGAGACAATGTCCTGGAGGACGGTGGACATAAGGAAAAGCTGCACAGGGCTCTTCTTTTTGGGTTACATTTTAAAGCCAATGGACAGCATCTCCCCAACCCCACCATGCTCTCCTACATCTAGCCATTTGCTAGGAATTATTTAACAAGAGTGCTGTCCCCAGCAAAGACAACTTCTGGAGATTGCCCCTTTCCCAGGGCCCACCCAGCTGTGCCACCTCTGCAGCCCTCAGCCTCTCCGCACCAAGGCTACCCACCTGCTTTGCTAAGCTAGGACAGAGGAGAGGAAACAGGAAATGGACCTTACCATACTTCAGGCCCCCCAGAAGCAAAGACACCCACGTGCACCCTGAGCTCCAGTCTCTAAGAGACTAGAAGTACAGTCAACACTGTTTACAGGAGCAGCGCACACAGACAGAAACCTGTCTGGGCTCTAGCAGGCAGGTCCAGAAATGCTGTTCCACCTGCCACTCTCCCAGTCAAGCACAAGAATGGCCCAGCCCTGACGTGGCCACCCCACACCCACATAGCAATATCCATTCCTGTACACACACTGGTGCCATTGCCCGTCACGTCCCTTTGCACACACATACCTATGTGCATGGCCCCAAAGCCTGACTCGCCTGTAGTCCCTCATGCCCCAGTAGTGGCTGCCCACGCCTTCCCTCAGCTCCCTCACTGCCCTCGCCCCCGTGCCTCCCCCAACCCAGGGTCAGGCACTTCCGCCTTCCGGGGGATACTTGGCTTCTAGCTGCCACCCACTGGGAGGGGGAGGGCTGGCATTAACTGCAGATCCAGCCTCAGGAATGCCTCGAGGCTCCTCCTGTCCAGCCTCTCTCCCACCTTCTGGACACTGTCTGCTTCCTCCCCCTCAGTCAGGTGACCACCTTCCTTTTCCCACTGTCCTGGCTGCTCCCCATCCACGGACTCTTCTGCTACCCAGGCTTATTCCCGAGCAACTCCAATGCTGTGGGTGTTGAGGGGACTTTTGAGTGGCACCCGTGTCCCAGTGTTATTGAATATCAGACTCTCCCTCTGGCCTCAGGGGATCCTAGAGCCCCATTCCCCACCCAGACACAGCTCTGTGAAGCTCTGCCTTCCAGGTCTCAGCCCTCTGACCCCTCCCTCTGGGGCAGCAGTAGAGCCTCTCTTCCTGCTCACCTTGCTCCCCTGCAATCTGCTCAGCTCCATGCACGGTCAGTCCCAGGGAAGTGGGTTAGCTAGTGCCAAGAGCCAGACCTGAAAAGGAAAGTTCTCCACCTTCACTCCTGCTCTTCCCAGCATGGAATCCTGTCCGAACTGTTCTAGGGCTCCCCAACAGAAAGCCACTCTGCGTGTGTGTGTGTGTGTGTGTGTGTGTGTGTGTGTGAGAAGCAGGATTGTGACACCCAACCTCAGGAAGTCAGGCCTCTATCCTCACCCTCTCACCCCCTCTGCAGCCCCTTCCTTCCAACCGCTGATCTCCAGACCCCTCCGGAGCCAGAAAGGGCTCCCACACTCCTGTTGCCCACCCCTCCCTTTTCCCCTCTTCCTTTTCTGAGTGCCCCAGCACCATCCCCTTCTCTTACCGAAGCTGCCTGGCCGCAGGGTGGGAGCCACTGACTCCCAGGCTGGAAACTGAGAGCTCTAGAGGGAGCTGGCTTTAGTGACGAGGGCTCAGGAGGAGAGTGAATCACAGCTGGAGTTTTCCACCAAGTGCCTGCCCTCTGCAGCTTCTAGGCAAGCTCTAGTCCTTTACAACCACTAGCCCTCCTTGGGATTTTCCTAGAGAAAGCACCCTGACCATGCCTGTCTAAAGGAAGGAGCATGGAGTGTCAAGGCCACAGGTACAGGATCTGGCAGACCTGACTCTCTGCTCCTGCCCTATTGTCTACCAGTCTGAGCACCAGATAGGGAGTTTCAGTTTCCCACTCCGTAAAATAATATGTCCTTTACAGGGTTGCTGTGAGAGCAAAAAAATCACATAGTAAATTGCTGAGATATCTCAAGTACTTACAGGGAGTTGCTGGTGTTTGTTGTGTGTCCTCTGGACATAGAGGCTGGGATTGTGGTGGGTCTGGTCCTGAAGAGCACGAATAATGCCGTCACCTCTTGGCACTGAGGCATGTGGTAAAGACACATCCAGAAGAGTCTGGCAGCTGTCAGTGGTGAAGGGTGTGGGCTGAATATGTGCGTCCTGGGCTGGGGGCCCAGTGGGCTTCTCCCGAAAGGGGTCCCAAGCACACACTCACAATACTAGGTACAAGTCTGTCCCATGGCCCTTCCTTTAGAAGACAGAGATGCTTCTTCAGCTGTAGGTGGGTGGAGGCAGGGGAAGTTGTGGGAGAAAGGGAAATTTCCCTGTACATACGCTTCCTCTTTGTCTTTGAGGACTTCTCAGCAGTGGAGGAATGTGAAGTGAGACTTTCAGTCTGTAATTTTCCATCAGACACCCCCACTCAGCATCTCTCAGGCCCCTCTCAGCCAGTCCCATAGGGTTCCCCATTGTGAAAAAGCCAGGGTGAGTTTCAGTTCTCAGATGGCTCAGCTCTGTGAAGCCATAAGCCAGGCTGGGGGCAGTTCTGGCAAAAGAGAGCCCAGCCCCCCAGAATCACTCTTGTCACCCCTGTGCTTGGCTGGCCTGTGTGATTCATGTTGGTGGCCTGGTCCCTGTATATTTGGTGCACCTCATATCGACCACAGAGCTTACTGCAGAGGGGACACCAGTGGCCACGCGTGTAAATAGTTGCAGCTATCCAAGATCAAAATACTCATCTGTTATGGTTTATATTGCAATGTCCCCCTAAACCTCATGTGATCATAGGTGGGACCTTTGGAAGGTGATTGCATTATGGGTACTTACAGCTGACTATAGCTTGCTATTAGGAGGTAGAGTCTGGTAGGAAGAGGTAAGTCACTGGAGGTGTGGCCTAAAAGGGTTTATCTCCCCCCGCCCCAGCTCCTCTCTGGACTCTGTTTGCTTTCTTTCTGCTATGTCTCCTCTGCCTTGCCTCTCTGCCATGCCCTCCTGCTTTGGAGCCAGTGTACTATGGAGTAAAATCTCTACAAACCTCTCCTCCTTTAAGTTGTGGGCATTGGGCATGGGGTCTCAGCAGTGAGAAAAGTGACTAAGACACCATCCTCTCCAAATGCACCCTTTTGTCCAGCCCAATCCTCCTCCTGCGATCCTCTCAGGCAGCAATTTGAGGAGCAGAGTTCGATTTTTCTCCCAAAGAGTGGCCTAATCTTTCCCTTCTTTCCCTGATTGCCTCTGGCGCTGTCTTTGAGCCCTTCCTTATTCATTTACACCCCAATCTCCATGTTCCCCAACACCATCTGGGTATTCAGAGCAACTGGAAAACTCTGGATGCCGGAAACTCTGTCTTGCTAAAGGTAGGAATCCTGAAAAGTCTAGCTAAGTCAGGGCTGTTTCCATGCTGGGAAGGGCCCATAGTTGAGATGAAATATGATTAAATGGACCAGTAATCTCACTGTAATAAGAACCAATGGAAAAATAAGAACCAAGATGCATTATGTAAAGGTACAATTCCCAATGAGAAATGGAATTGTGTTGTATACCTACAATGTACCGATAAAAGAATGTAATTTAAAAAAAAAAAAGAACCAATGGATTCCACAGATGTTCTCAATGCTACCATCTTCTCTGACCCTGTGCATGCTTCGGCAGACCTGGGAGGGGACCCACTGCCCGAGCATCTAACTCAGGCTCTGTGCTCTGCATGTTACTTCTTATAATCTCCTTAAGAACCTTGGAATATAGATATCATTATCCCCAGTTGACAGAGGGAATCCTGGGATAAACAGAATCTCATGCTTTGTCCCAAGGCCATGCCCTACTAAATGGTAGAGCTGGGATTTCCAAAAACCTACACTTGGTTCTAAAAACCTACACTAGTTCCACTGTAGCACAGTGTTTCCCAGATCATGAATATCTTAAAGGGTAGGGATTTGATTTCAAAATCCTTTGTTTCTATCTCTAGCATTTAGTATAGCCCTGCCTCGGAGTAGGCACTTGGTATTTATCAAACAGATGGATGGATGGATGGATGGATGGATGGATGCATGCATGCTCCTTGGGGGAAAAATATCTCAATTTCTAGGAAAGCATTGTTTTCCCAGAACCAGGAGATTAACTAGGGCATAGAGGGCTCAGGTCCTACTTTTCTTGAACAGTACTGCTGTACTGAGCAAGACCATGGGGTCACAGGACACTGGTTATTTTAGCAGCACCTTTCTCTTGCCTTCTAGCAAATATGCTTAGCTCCATAACTGTAGCCTTCTTCCTGGGGAGAATCTGACCTTGATACAGCAAGGACATCTCTGCTAATGGATACCCCAATGTAGGGGCCTGGAGTCAGGGTAAATAAAGAGATTTGCTTGAATGTGTCCCATGAGCAGCTGTTCTGTACTCTCTTCAATAACACGATGATGTAAACAGTATTATTTCCATTTTTACAGGAGAAAACTAAGGACCAGAGAGGTTAACTTACTCTAGATCACACAGGTAGTAAGCACAGGGAGCCAGGTCAGGACTGCAAAACTCTAAAGGAATGTGCTTGGCTGACTGTGGTGTCTCTGAGTCTGTGCTCATGTGAACATTTGTCTAAGGACAATGAGGGGCTGTGGGTACGCACGTGTGCAAAGTCTGAGCCCCAAGGCAGACTGGTGTGCTCAGTGCCTCCTAAGTGCTTCCCTCCTGCCAAGGGTGGTGGTTTGGAAATTTTCCTATTGCCTGTGCCTCTGCCCTCTGCCCTCAGCTTTCCCCTGCCCCAAGGCCCTTCCCATCTGCCTTCCTTCTCTAACAGGTGTGGCCTCTGGACAGGGAGGGTTCCCCTTCCTGCCCTGCCTGCTCTCTTCCTCTAGGAACTACAGAATTCAGACTCTACCCTTCCATGCAGGAAAAGCAGACGGGACTGAAACAACCCTCCTCCACCCCCAGCCCCACCTCTTCCACTCCCTGGGCCAAAGCTTGGTCCAGCCACAAGGCTCCATCTCCACCTGTCTTCCCTACCTGGGTGGTCAGAGCATCTCTGCCTCACCCTTTTCCCCCAACTGGTTTAATAACTTCACAGTTTAATAACGTCACTGGTTTAATAACTTCATGCTGACTGGCACAAAGAGACTGAAAGCGCTGTCATACCCATGACCTCATTTGAGCCCTACAACAAACCCATCATGGCCAAGGCACAGTTTATCCTTATCTGGAAAACAAGTATGAATCACAGGAGCTTCTACAAGCACATATAGTAAATTAGACGTAGCAAATCAAGACGAGAACCAATTCCCTGATTCTTGTGCCATTGGGTGATTTTCACACTACAGTCCACCATTGTGAGCCTCCTAAACAAGACTCAAATCTCTATCACAACAGCTCTGCACCTTCCTGGGCTCAGCAGATTCTCGAAGCTTTGATCAGAAGGCTGGATGCTCAGCTGGCTTTCCCAGGCCACCTGGGCTCACACTGTCAGGCTCCTTCCCACCCATACTCTCCTGTGTTCTTATCTTTCATGGCATTTGCCATGTTTGTTTAAGGAATCATATCTGACAGCATGAGTGGGGACAGCATCACACAGCTCTGCACAGTGGTGTTCTGGAAACAATGTAGGATAGATGGAGAGGCCAGGTGTGTGTTGGCTCCAGCTTCAGGAGCTTCTCCAGCAGATTTATTTCTCCTAAGGACTGTGGCTGAGCCTGGTGCACTGTCCCGAAAGGCCAACACATGGGGTGTGTGTGTGTGTGTGTGTGTGTGTGTGTGTGTGTGTGTAGGGGTATGCTGTTGGTGCTTTTTAGGAACTCTTCCAACAACAAGAAATCAAACTTTGAAGACTGGCAAAGATTGCAGTGCGTTTCCTCACAGACTGACATGGAGAAAAAACTGAAAAAAACATGCCCAGGACCCTGTGCACCCTTGATGGCAGCTCTTAGAGTCGCGGGATGCAGCACCACCGGCCGCAATGGCACCAGCAGTCTGCCATGAAGGGGCAGGGAGTTAGATTCACACAGAGGAGAAACAGCACCCGCAGTCCCAGCCACTTCCACACGCATACACAATGCCACCGCTCTGCCCTCCCGGGGAAGGCTGCCAGGTGAGGGGTTGCCGTGGCCTGGGGAGGAAAGCTGCAGGGGTGCTCATGGGTGGGGGAGAGGGTTGGCTGCAGCTCTGCCCCGTGGGTCCTGGGGGAGCAGGAGCCTATGGGGATGCCTGGGGAACACTGGGGCCAAGGCCACTTGCTGAGCCCCAAGAGAGATGGGCTCTGCCTTCCACTTGTTCCTCTTTACAGCCTGACCCAGCTCAAGCCACTCAGGCTCTTGTGGTAGAGCTGAGATCACGGCGGTGCCTCCCCCTTGTGGCCACACCTGGTGATGACAGCATCCAGTTTCACAGCCTCTTGCAAACTTGCAAACCGGGTCCCTCTGCTGGCAGACTCCAGGCTCCCACACCCACCTGGGCTTGCCGGCCACGCCATCAGCTAGCTTGTGCTCCGCTGTGCCAGGCTGGGTCGGTGAGCTGACACAGAGGAGGCAAGGGCATAGCCTGGGAAACGGCATCCTCCTCCTTTCTGTAGCTAGGGCCCTGGTCTCCTTCATCCTCCCTCCACCTCCTTTCTTAGCCCATGGAGCACAGGTGGAGAACACGGGATGCCTCCCGGGATCCACACACCTTGCCGTCACCCTCCCACCACAGCAGTCTCCTCTGCTGCAATGTGAAGGAAGAGAACTCAGGGACTGTGGACAAGACAGGAGGGAGCCGGTCCCACAGCCACAGCTGTACAGGAGGAGGTAGCCAAGCCACAGGCTGAGGGCAGGAAACAGACTGGATGCAAGCGCTCTGGGAAGAAGATGGATTTAATGGAATGCAGGGAGGAGGCCAGAGGCCAGCTGCTCTCCGCCCCCTAGTGCCCCCATCGGCCTCCCCAAGCTGCCTCCAGAGGTACTTTGGACACTGGCATCTCACACCTGTTTTAACCACCCGGGGTGGACCAGGGAAGCAGGAATGGGAGGCACCCAACTCCAAAGGCAGATTCCAAAGTCTCTCCATTGTCTTGTCTGCCCAGGGTGAGGACAGAGAGGCACAGTGAGCCTTTTGCCCTCTGGCCTACTGATATGCCCTAGCCAGGCCCATAGGCTCCATCTGAGGGCCTGCCCCTAGATGTTTGATTCCAGTTCTGTGAGTCGAAGAAGAGACGTCCTGGGTGTGGCAGGGGTGGGGGGTCCTGCTTGGCTCCTCTGGGGCAGGTCCTCAGCTGGGCACAAGAGCTGGCGAACTCTCTGCAAGGACAGTAGCCATGGGTGTCACGTGGAAGTCACTTGCCTCCTCAAACACCCACCTCTGGATGCCAGCCTCTAACTACAACCTGGGTCCTGCCATTATCCAGTCACTTCCTGAGACAGAGCTCACACTGTGTCCCTCCCTGACAGCTGTGCCAACTCCCCGAGCCCTCTGAGCACCACCTCCCACCCTGGCAGGCCACCTACCTAGCCTCCATAACCTCACCCCATCCAGAGAGGCCCCCATCCCTCTGTGGAGATCCTTCACACCTCTCTGAGGGAGCCCTTGAGGCTGATGAATTTGTAGATGCTCCAGGTAGGAATGCAGACCATGGAGGACAGAGCCAGGAGCCAGCCCAGGGCATCACCCCACCATGGGTACATGTACTTCTTGTTGTAGGTCAGCGGGGCATACTTGATCAAGGAGAACAAGAAGGTGGCCTGGAGTGAGAGTGGAGAAGGAAGAAGTTAGGGGTCCCTGTGCCCTCAGCACCCCACCCGATGGCTGGTCTGATAGGATTCCAAGCCCTGATGTGCTTCCAGTCAGCTTCCAAACTACACCGCATTCTGCTCAGAACCCACACCCCCAGCAGATACTTCCAGGACCCATGCTCTGTCACTCAGGGGCCCTGTGTCCCAGGGACCTCTGCTCACAGCTGACTCCTGGTCAAACAGGGCGATGCGCCTGGGTACTTAAAGCTGCTCACAGCTCTTGCACCAGGAAGTAAGTAGGGCTGTGAGCAGCCCGGGGAATATCTGCCTCCCTGTCCCCCTTCCTCATTTCCATCTTGTACTCCACAGGGCTGAGGAACTGCTGACGAGAGCAAAAACCCAAGGGGTGACACGATGTGTTCAAGCCTCAGACTCTGGAGTGAGGCTGCCTGGGTGTGAGTCTTGGCTTTCTGCAACTCTGTCGCTCAGTAAGTTGCTTTACCTCTTTAGCTTCAGTGTCATCTGTAAAATGCACGTCATTGTGATTCTTGTCTTACCGGGTTCTTGTGAGGACGCAATGAGTTCATATGTGTAAATAAAGTACCTTGGGCCAGACACACATTAGGCCCTCTAGAATTGTTGCTATCATGGTGGCTACGGTTTTTAATGTTATTCTGAGCAGCCCAACCCTTGAGTTTCAGTCCTGCCTGTGACATTAGATTCACACTGAGCTCTTGGTCAAGCCGTCTGACAACATCAGACCTCAGTTTATCCCTCTGTGAAATGGAAAGGATGAGTCTATCTTTCTAGGCTTCAAGGGAAGAGCAATAAAAATCTAAGATGGTTTTCAAATTCTAGAGAGAACTCCACTCTAGAGCTAATGACCTCCATTTCCACCCCTGCTACCACCCTCAGGCCCTCCTTTCATGTCTCTATTCCTTGAGGATTTCCTTACCATGCACACAGCTGGTGTGAAAAAGAGCCAGCAGTATTTGATAAGAGGCCATGGCCTGTACCCAATCATATCTTCAACATTGTCATAGAAGCGTCCAGCTCCTACCACAGAGAAGGGAGGGAGGCAGAGGAGAATGGACATCATTCAGGGTCAGGAAGGGGGCCATACAGATTCGGTGGGCAAGGACCAGTAAATGGAAGATATCATGGTCGCCTTTTCAAAGCACCCTAGGATTCATAGCATAAATGGCAGCACGCGGAACTTGGTTTACGGCGAGACAGTCAAATTCTGATTTTCAAGGTTGCTCCAAGCAGCAGAGTTTTGGTTAGGATAGGCTTGCCTGAAGGGGTCTGGGTACAGCTACTGCAGGTCGGAACTCAGGGTAAGTTTTGGAGGGCCCTTTCAGCACTAGCCACTTGGGGGTTTTGAGATTTCTGAGGTTGGATAGGGTGGAGTCCAGGAAAGCGTGGGTGTGGACAGCAGATGCTGCTGAAAGGCACTAGAGTGGAGGAGATACCAGGGTGAGAACAGGGGGAAGTCACTCACCATAAACCCAAGCCGCACAGAAGGACTCAAAGATGGCCACAAACAGGAGGCACATGCCACTGGCTGCATAGTAGTCAAAGAGCTGGAACACATACATGCCACCCTGCACAGGGGAGATTATCCCAAGGAGACACACAGACTTAGCCCCGTGCCCCACAGCCTCAGAGCTTTGGGGCCCAGAGCAGTATTGGTGAAATCACAGGAGACAGCTACTAAAAGAGAATGTGTTTATAAGCCATAAAACACTAGGAAGATATGGAAAATAATTGTTTTACTATTGCTTTCAGATGGAAGATGAATGAAATCAGACAGCTATTATTAATAGTGTTCCTGAGAGCATTTAGGAAGGACCTAGAAGTCCAAGGTATAGTGCACATTCGTCTAAGAAAGGGTTATGATGGAGTTGTCATTGGTAGTGTCAAAATGCCGGGCTCTTCCACCCCACTTCTCCCCTGAGACATAACACGGATGCCACCTGTCCCCAGGGCTCCCTTTCCCCCTGTGAGGTTATGCACTGAACTTGGTTCCACCACCAATGGGGTCTTGCTGGAGAGGCAGCTTTTCCCAGTGCTTTCTATGCCTCTTTGGTTACCATAAAGCCAAGTTCCCCATCACCCATCCTTTCTGTGGGGTCGAGGAGGGTGTCCCAGTGGCCAGGAGGCCGTGGCCCTGACTGACAGTGCAGCTGATCATGCTGCTGCTCCTCGTCCTCACTGAATGCCCCTTCCAGCCTCCCAGACCCTCACCTCTGTGAGCATGACCAGCCCAAAAAGGAAGGAAATGATGGCCACCACCAGGATGAGGATCTCTCTCCGGTTCTTCCTGCGGAACCTCTGGGGGTGCATGTCCACCAGCGCTGTGACCAGGCTCTCTACGCACACAAACTAGATGAGAGGCAGGAGAGTCGAAGGAAGAGAGAGCTGCTGCAGGGCCCTTGGTCAACCGGCTCTGGATCTGGCTCTCAGAGTCAGCCCTGCCAGCCTCTCCGACTCCAGCCCCAGAGCTGCTGTCCTTGTGCAGTTAGGTCCGGACCATCCCAAGGACATCCATTCTGACATTTCCCCAGTCCCCCACTATTTTAAGCTCCCTTGGGGCAAACAGCTCAACCTCATGCCTTCTGTGCACCCTCCCCTGGCCCACACACCCAGTCCTCGCTCGGTCTCCGAGAGGCTACCTCTTGATACCTGGCTATCGAGTCCCAGGAGAATGACCATGAAGAAGAAGCAGCAGGCCCACAGAGGAGAGAAGGGCAGCATTGCAACAGCCCGAGGGTAGGCGATGAAAGCCAGGCCAGGGCCTAGGGTGAAGCAGAGGGAGACAGACCATGCTGATCCAGCTCCAGGCCTCTGGTATGGGGCCACGGAATAACAGATCCAGAAGAAACCTCATCCCAAAATTATCACCACCACCATTATCCTGACTCAGGCCAAGCCACCCAAACTTCTACCTGGTCCCCAAATTTCCAAGGCACCAAACCACTGTATGCTCACTAGCAAGAACAAAAACTAGAGACCCTAGATAAAAAGGATTTTTTCTAAAAGGCCTCTGGGCCTCTGCAACTGTTGTCCCAAACTAGAGGTGTCAAACTTAGAATGAGTGGGCCAGACAAACCCATGAAGTAGACCCGGAATAAAACAAGAAGGAACCTGAGCGCTCCGTGACTGAGGCACTCTGTTGTGTTTTTTGTTGTGCTTACAGAGTAGATGGCACCGAAGAAAGTACCTCAAGGGCAAGATCCGGCCTGAGGCCTCCAGTTTACCACCTCCCACCCTCCAGCAAGTAGCCTAGAGTTACTTTTAGAATGCCGCTGGCACGCCTCCTCTCACGGGCATGAACTTCCCTCTCCGCCACTCATGGGGCAGGAATGAGTTCACAGGCCTGAGCCTGATCTATCCATGGGAAGTTTTCACTGAAAGATGCAGAGTACCATGCGGCTGTCATCTGCTTCCTCAAGTCTCAGCTCCCACTCCGGTGCAGCAGGGACCATGGTAGCACCTACCCCACAGGTTTGCATCACATGGCAAAATGCTTCACGCCATGCATGACATATCCCTCATCCGAAATGCTTGGCACCAGAAGTGTTTCAGGTTTTGGAGATTTTCAGACTTGGAATATTTATAGAATCTACCAGCTGAGCTTCTTAATCTAAAAACCCAAAATGGTCCAAAATCTGAAACCTTTTGAGTATCATTTCTGGATCCCAGGTACAAAGAACTTATGGGCACTTCCCTGTGACACCCACCTGACTCGGCAACCTCAGAAATGGGCACACCCTGCTCCTGGGACATGAAGCCCAGGATGGAGAAGATGGCAAAGCCGGCTATGAAGCTGGTACCGCTGTTGAGGAAGCAGAGGGCGATGCAGTCCCTGTGGGGAGCAAGTGTGGAGAAGGAAGCAACAGGCTCATAAAGGGGCCACAGCTCCTCCAGGCAGGCACTCACTGGGCCCTCACAGAGGCTGGGCAGGGCTCCCTGTCAAGTCCAGGAGACTTCCAAGTGCCGGCCCTGCCCCGTCTCCCCACCACTGGCTTGGCTCAGACATGAGATGAATCAAGATGACCCTAAAAGACATGCTCTAAGCACCCCACATGATGCTACCACACTTCTGGAGACACTGCTGCTCTGACCTAATTCCATCTAGCACGACATGGGTAATCCCAATCACATAACTCAGACACCTAAATTCGATTTTTGAAACGCACAATAGGATTTTTTTTCATCTGCATTTCAGCTAATTACATTTGGCTTCAATTCTCTGAGAATGAATCAGGAAGGCAGAAAGGAACCCTGGGGAAAGGATGTGGTGTGAAGGAGGGGCCTCTGGGAAGCACGCCCAGGAGGTGAGGTGAAAGTCAGGAGGAGTCAGCATCTTCTGGGGCAGGTTTACCAAGCAGGCAAGACTGAGGCTCCACTGAATGACAGATGTGAGGTTGTTGCTTCTCACCTAATGCTCTTGCGCCCTCTAATCACTGAATTAGCCAGGGCAGGCAGGTCCCTCCTCAGATTTCCCAGCTGAATGCTGCTTTCCCACCCTTCCAGAAGCAGCCCCTCTGCCCATCCTGCAGTTGACTCCATTTGGCTTCCAAGAACACCTTGGCATGGAAGCAGGGGTGTAACAAGGACAAATGTGGGAGCCCGTGTGGGTCAGAACCCGCTCCCCCAGTCACCTGTAGCAGTTGTTGTGGTACTTGTTGTAGCTGCCCAGGGCCGTGAGGCAGCCCAGGCAGATGGCAAAGGAGAAGAAGATCTGGGTGCCTGCGTCCATCCACACCTGCGAAGGGAGACGGCGAGAAGGCTGACCTCCTGGGAAGTGGCTCTCTACACCCCCGTGGGAAGACACAGCTATGAGTGAGAACCCAGCCAGGCCCCTGCTGCCCTGTTCGCCAAGTGGCCCTCCTCCCTAGGCCCCGGATGAGCTTGTTGAGCACCACAGGAGGAAACAAAGAGAAACCTGAAGGAGATTTGGTGGAGGGTAGGCAGGTGGGTCAGGGCTCCAGAAGAAAGGTAGGTCTGGTATCAAAGGTTTGATGGTGAGAACAAGGCCCTGGGTTCTGTTCCACTCTGTCCTATCCCTGACAGGAACCCAGGCATAAGAACTCTAGGGATACAGGTCTCAGAACCCTCTGTCTGAAAACCAGGGAGAGTAAGCTTCCAACTCCACCAAGTCTGGAGGGTGAACAGAAACAAATCCGGAGAGGACTTTTTCCTCCTTGGGGAAAACACCTTTCCGGCTAAACCTAAGTAAGGCTGTCAACTGTTGTTATGTCAGCTGTCTGGCCCAGTATGTTTGTGTTGTGAACTAACAGCTAGAAAAACATCCCAAAGAGAAAGAACATCAAGGCCACAGGACCAAGAAATCATGCAGAGTTGCAGGTAGGGCGGCCTACAAGCACCTCCAGGGAGCACTAAGCTGTGGACATGGCCCTGTGTTCCCAGGAGAAAGGGCACTGGATGACCGCTTCTGTGTCTTGGCCTAGCCTCACTCCAGGAGCTCCCAAACAGGCTCCTGCTTTCCAAAAACCTTCCAGCCTCCCATCATTTCCTTCTACTAACAGCAACCTCCAGTCTTATACACAGACCTCCTCAATCCCTCCCTGCCTTCCCCTGGCCCCAACCATGGCCACCACCCTTAACCCCACCCCTTGCTCTCTCCTATTGCACTCATACCTACCAGAGCACCAGTTTTCCTCTACATTGTAGGGTCTGGGGACCTACAGGCAGGCTGACTGCCTAGAATCACACTGACTGGCATCCTCGGGTGAGGCACTGAATCCTGAGCCCCAGAAGCTATGTCGTTTTCAAATCTTCCTGTCATCCTAATGAACACTAGGAATAGGATCGCTTCGCTGTGCCCCTGAGGACAGGCATCAAGGACATGCCCAGGGCATGCCTCCTCTGGTTGTATTTCTACCTCCGCAGGAATGAAAAGGGAGACAGTGTGAAGAGAAGGGAAGAGTTTCCAGGTGTCCATCCTTTCTGCTCACTGGAAGTCCCTTCCCTGAGTGTTCTCTGAGGTGGGAGTTGCCACTAGGGAAAAGGGTCAGAAGCAAGAAGCACAAAGGTGGATTTAGAGGGCTAGGGTTCACAAGGAAATAACACAAAGGGCCTTGGGCTGGGGATTTAGCTCAGCGGCACCATGCCTGCCTTGCAAACACAAGGACCTGAGTTCAATCCCGGTACCGGAGGAAAAGAAAAAAGGCCAAAGCACAGTGAGAACCTGACCCTGAGGAAAAATTATAATGGAGAAAAGAGAGGAGGTTGGGGATTTATGTCAGAAGCTAGAGAAGGAAATGCAAGAATGAAATCAAATCCTGAGGACAGCAAGGGGGATGCTTGCACGGTGCAGTGCAATGTCACACCACATTTGAGGAGAACCTGGCCGGTCTGGTTGCTCCTTCTAGATGTTCCAGATCCTTCACTCTCCTAAAACTCTGCTACATAGTTATCTCAGGAAAACTCAGTGGGTCCCTCTATTCCATCTCATTCCCGCCTTGGTGCATAGTTTCTCAACAGCATCAAGCATGGGGCCTTGTAGCAAGACCCCGAGCTTGTGCAGACAGGACTGACCAGTGTCAGAGATGTGAGGCACCTAGCTCCAGTCCCATGGCATCTCCCATCAGGAGATCAGGAACTCCCTCCAAACAGCCAAGCCCCTGAAGCCTCCAGCCTGGGTGTGTACCCCAGACAGTACACAGGGTACAGATTGGTCCACACATTACCCAGAAAACTCCCAAGTGCCCTCAGGACATTCTGTGACTGCCCACACACAGACAAGCAGGGGCTTTATCCTGTGATGATGGGAATTTGTGAAGTTTGGCTTGGGACAAATAAGGAGAGAAATGGTGACTTGTTGTTCACTTCACCTGGCCAGCAGGGGTACAGGCTGAGCCAGAGCTGGGCTGGAAGGAGAAGTCAGTGAGAACAAAGAGCCACTGCAGGAGAGCAAGGGTTCAGAGCCCAAGGGTCAGATCCTGTGGTGCCTTTGAACAGAGCCCTCGCTGGGAGCTTGGCAGCGCCTGCTCTCTGCACAGCTGTGGCCCTAAAGACTGCTGAGACAAGGAATGGACTGGGCCGAGGAGCCTGAAGGAACACGCAGAGCAAGCTGTTCTGCTCCCCGCCACAGGGACCCACTCCCTGCCCATTCCAGGAGCCCCAGGTTGCAGAACAAAACTCCAATGTGTTTTTAGCTGGGGCAGAAGACAAACCAAGAAAAAAACAAGTATGAAAAACACTTGGAGGAGTATGGGTAAGAAAAGAGATTTGGGGGGGAGAGAAAGACTTCTACAATGTCCAGGAAAGATGTTTCGACCTAGAGTGCCCCCATAGGGTTTTGGATATCTATCTGGAGTGTAATAGAAAATCATGGTCAAATTGATCTGGGTCCAATTCCTAACTCTAACAATCACCAGTTGTGTGATCTTAGGCAAGTCACTTAGCCATTCAAAACCTCTTTTCTCATCAGAAAAATGGGTAAAATAACAAAAAAAAATGTATACAAAATGCCCAACACATAAGTAATTATTAGTTTCCTATGCTGTCTGCTAAAATAATAAAAAGTAGGCCTTAAAACTCTCAAATAATTCATATCCTCTGGGAAAGATCTATCATGGTGTTGAAGAGAACAGACTCCAAAAGACTACCTGAACAAAACCCAACCTCCCCAATATGGTAGTTTTGTGGTTATTCAAAGCCTCTCAAGTTGTCTAAGCTTCCATCGTCTCCATCTATAAAAGGGGGCTGACATCTGCCTCACAGAATGAGTGTGAAGAACCCAGAGAAGTCCCTTGCCGAGGAGGAGCATGTGCAGAATGAACCTGCACTACTGTTATTCACTGCTATTATTTTAAAGCACAACTTGCATTTCAGTGACGGTGAGGTGGCATCAGCTTCAGTGAGCTGCACTAAAATACAAAGACTGGTCCTGACTCATGGTTTCAGCCTCCTCCTCAAGCAAAGCCTGCATTTGAATTGCTCAACACAGGGATTTAAAGGGCTCAGCAGGGCTCTTGGGCCACCCTGTTCCCATCCCCCCTTACCCATTTACCAAAGCTCAGTATAATGAAAGTTCAGGACTCAGGAAAAAAACCAGGGGCCTGAACAAAGTAGGTAAAGCCTGAGTCCCCAGGGGCTGTCCCCAGGGGGAAAGGCAGCAGCCAGCCCAGCACACAGCATGCCTGGCAGGGGAAAGGCAGAAAGAAGAGATCAACAGAGTATTGTCTCTGCCTGGCTCTTGGCCCCCAGCCTCAGTGCTTGGCAGAGAGAGATGTCTTTGGTCTTTGTGTTGGTAGCAGGGATTTTGCACCTCTCTCAAGTGCCAGCCAAATGCCAGGTGGAATTATCACACATCCCAGGGAGTGCCAACGACATTCAATTAGGGCTCTGGCAGGGTATCTCCCCCTGCAGGTGCTGCTGGGCTCACTGATGACAAAGGCCTTGTGTCAGCATGGGACCAGGAGCAGGCTGCCTTTGAAACAGCTTCCTCCCCGCAGTTGCAAAGCACTTGGAAGACATTTGCTCCCTGTCCAGCCTACAGCTGGCTGGGGTTGGAAGGATGGTGTCCAGGGTGCAGATTAAGTCTTATTCCCTGCAGTCAGCCAGACACAGAATCATAGCCTTATTAATTTTCTGGCCTACTCTCATGCGAAATGGCTGAAAGCTATTATATACCAGAACCTACATTTAGAACAGGCCTGATACATAATAGATGCTCAACACATTTTTGATGAATGAATGATGAGAGAAACAGGGAACTTGCCTTCAGAAATCACAAGCCAAGTACAGTGGCACATGATTGTAATTCCAGCTATTTGGGAAACCAAGGCAGGAAAATCACAACTTCAAGGCCAGCCAGGGCAACTTAGTGAGACTTTGTCTCAAAATAAAAATTAAAAAAGAAACCAGTAATCCCAACATGCTGGAAGGCTGAGAGAGGAGGATCACGAATTTAAACCCAGCCTGGGAAATTTAGCAACTTAGTAGAATCCTCAAATTAAATTAAAAATTTTTTTAAAGGATTGGGGATGTAACACAGTGTTAAAAATCCCTGGCTGGGTTCAATCCCCAGTGTCACAAAATAATATTAACAACAACATTAGAATAAATGGCTGGAGTATGGCTTAGTGGTAGGGTGCCCCTAGATTCAATCCTGAGAGAGGGAAAGAGGGAGAGAGAGAGAGAGAGACATAGACACACAGAGAGATCACAAAGTACATAGGATTAAGACATGGTTCCAGCTGCAGATATGAAGAGAGAAATTTTCCTGAGCTTTTGAGTCTCAATTTCTTTATCTGTAAAGTGAGGAATCCCTCAATGATCTACTACAAGGAGCAGCTGAATTAATGCACGTAAGCCTCTTAACAGTGCCAGTGACATAGTAAGCTCCAGCTCTAAAGAGCTGTTTAGGACAAAGATGACATAGTCATGACACAGTCAGAGAGCACTATATGAACAAAGGACAAACTCCTGGGCCCTTAACCTGCTAGTCATTAAAAATATGATTTATGTTTGCTTCTAAGATAGACTAGGACTTAGAGGTGTTTTGTTTTGTTTTTAGTAAAAATCTTGACTCTTGGATCTACCAATACTATAGATAGATAGATAGATAGATAGATAGATAGATAGATAGATAGATAGATGATAGATCCTTATCAGCTCCATATATACATAGGCGTGTTAGTCATTTATGGAGTGTCTAAAAGTTGGCAAAATAAGATTTATTACTCCTAAATTTACGTAGCCTATATCATCACCCTTCAAGACTGAGAACACTTATACCGAGAAGTCTCCATTGCCCTAAACCTGTGATCACCTTGGATTCCAACAGAGCCTCACATGGCTGAGATTGCCCTTCAAGACCTGAGGATTCCTTCCATGGAAACCACATTGCTCAATTCAGGAGGATTTCTCTGGAGCTATACACTCATGACTGACATAGTGATCGGCCAAGCTCCAGCCTTCTACAACCGTCCCATAAAACTGATCCCTGCCAGTCTGATCTTCATCAGTATGTCCCCTCCAGGTACTACTCAGCTGGAGTCCTTTCCTCATTTTCTCTGACTTCCAAATTAAAACTTTTTCCTATAAATCCATATTGTCACTTTAGTTTTAATTTCTATTATCACTAAAACCGGGACCCACACATTAGCTAGTAGCAAAGCCATAAATACTGGGCCTCTCTCTCCTTTTTCTGGCCATGCCCCTTCTCTCAGCCCTACAGGCCATGCAAGCAGAGGCAAGCTGCAGCTACTCTTCTCTGCTCTGCACTTCAGAACCACACTACCTTCTTCCTGCATGGTAGATCTGAGCCAGACTCCTCTTGGGCTCTTCAAAGCCTTCCCTCCCACTCCACTGTCCCACCACTTTCTGCTTGCCACCTGTTATGCAGCACAGCTCTCTGGTTCCAGATAAGTCAAGGGCTTATGATTCAGAAAACAAAAATATGCCTTGTAGTGCTGCCATCTCTTTGCTCCTCTGTGCAATGAGGAGGCTGCACTAGGTGATCTCTGGGGTCCTGTTAGCTTCAGCAGCTCTGGTTCTGGGCACAGCCCCACAGCCCAGCTGCAGCCTTCGTGCCCCAGTGGAGGTGATGCATGAGAAACTGGAGTGAGGAAGATAAGTTCACATCCCACAGAGGATCACTGGCAACATCCAGGACCATGGCTGATTCTACGGGGAGGTTTCTAAAGGGCTCTCTGGCTGTTGCTGAGGACCCTTAGTCCCTGAAGTCAAAATAGAAGACACAGGTCTGCTGGGGAGGCCAGGAGACTTGAGAATGACTCAGCTTCTGGATCACCCCAAACTCTCCCACAGAGAAGCCATGGCCTCCGTGGAAACTGAGTTCCCAGGGCCTCAGGGGAATTCAACCATTTGCCCTTCCTTGGTCTCTACTCCCTCTCAGCACATAAGTGCCTTTTTTCTTTCAGTACTGGGGATTTAACCCCAGGCCCCTCACACTAAACTACATACCCAGTCCTTTTTTATCTTTTGAAACAGGGTCTCGCTAAGTCACTCAATTACCTAGGCTGGGCTCAAACTTGTGAATCTCCCTGCCTCAGCCTCCCAAAGTGCTGGGATTACTGGTGTGCACCACCACACCTGATTGTCAGTGACTATCTTAAATATGTGGAAGCCATCCAGCTGATAGCCTCCAACAACCCAGAGGAGTATTTGGATTGCACACAGACCCCTTAGTGCCCAGCAGGCAGAAGCCGTGCACAGGGTAGAGTTACACACCCTGCATTTGGGGCTTACCCATGCTCCACTGGCCTTGTCAGCCTTGAGAATGGCTGCCAAGGAGAAGCGGAGACACCTATCAGAGGCAGGGTCTGTGTTTCACATCTCCAATCTGCAGGCAGCATTGCTTGCACCAGGCTGGCTGTGGCACAAGGAGTATGTGCAGTGACAGAAGAAGAGACACCTCTGGACAACTGACAGGAAACTTAACACCAATACAGCTGGTCCAGGGAGGGGCTGGGAATACAGAGCCAAGGAAGAGGTCACATGGGCAGAGTGAGGGCACCAGAGAGTGGTGGACAAGAGAGAGGAGCCTCAGGAGGAAATGCAAAAAAAGCAGAAATGAGGAAAATGGGTAGACAGAAGGGAAATGAGTAGAGTCTGTGAGTAATGGTGCTTAGTGACATAGTAGAAGTCCCTAAGGAATATTGCTAAGGCCTCAGACCCAAGGGGTGGACACCTTAGACCCAGACACCACTACTCACCAATATCTGCAGGAGGAAAGGCACCTCACCATCGCCATGGACATCCTGGGGACCCCCCACCAGAGCCCAGGGAAAGCCTGGAGCTTGAGCACCCTCAGACCCCATGACAGCCCTGGTCTGTACCTTCTTACCTGGGGATCCCACAGACGTGTGAGGTCAGGGTACAGGTAGAACTGAATTCCTTTGGCTGCCCCAGGCAGTGTCACCCCTCGGATTAACAGGACCACCAGCATGAGATAAGGGAATGTGGCTGTGAAGTACACCACCTAATGAGGGGCAGGTAAGAGATCCGGAAGAGTTGGTTAGGCAGTGTGAGAAAGGAACGAGGGGCCCAGACACCATGGTAGACAGCAGGCAGCAAGGCAGACACTACCCCCACCCAAGGGCAGGAAAGCTAGGGGACCCTCTCCTGATCCTCCCTCTTCCCTGCAGCTGTCCCATCCCATCTCCCCTGCCTTGGGTCACAACCTCCCTCTCTCTTCCCTCTAGCTCAAAACACTAGCTCTCCCCACACATATCTAATAAGAATTTGTTGAGTGGCTGAATGAACTTAATCATTCTCCACAATACATGAAATTACAGGAAGGGTTGTCAGGTATGGCAATATCTGTAACACGTGATCTCCTCCTCACAGAGTTTAGGAGCTTAGCACAGCAAGGCTGCCAGATTAAGCTGGAAGCTTCAGCAGAGGCTGGTAGGGCTTGAGTCCAGAAGAGCTCAGATGCCCTCTAATACCTCAGACACTCTAAGGCAAAGAGGCCCCAACACTCTTGAGCTGGTGAAGAGTCATTCTGAGGTGAAGAGTGTGAATGGAGCTCATTACCCACAACACTGTTTTGTGAAAGAGGGAGGCACCAACTGTATCCAAGCTGCAGTGTGCTCATGTGCGTGGTACATTCCAAGATCAAATTCCTCTGCAGGTGTTCTTCCTGCCTCTCTCTGTCCCATTTTATTTCCCAGAAATATGTGGGATCGAATCCAGAAAAGCCACAGGATCAAGGAAGGGGACCACCTAAAATCTTTGCAGGTCATTCCCCTCACTGGGCTGACCCTGAAGGAGGTCCTGGAAGTTCTTCTGAACGGACCTTGCCCGTGGATTTGACCCCCTTCCAGATGCAGAAGTAGCAGATGATCCAGGCCAGCAGGAGGCACAGGGCCAGCTCCCAGCGCAGGGCCCCCAGGTGCTCGATGCCATCAGAGATCTTTAGGACACGCCTCCTGGGGAGAGAAGCATCAGGCCCGGCTCCATTTTGGCTGCCAGCCTTAGGTCTTCCTTCCTTCCTGCCTTCCTGCCTTCCTTCCTTCCCTCCTTCCTTCCCTCCTTCCTTCCTTCCTTCCTTCCTTCCTTCCTCCTTTCCTTTCTTGCTTGCTTTCTTCCTGTCTCTTTCTGCAGCGCTGGGAGGGAAACCAGGGCCTCCTCACACATGCTGACGAGTACTCTGTCACGGATCCACACCCAAGCCCTGAGACCCAGTTTTGTAGCCCACCAGTCTCCAGTCTACTCTTGCCTAAGGCTTGTCAGATGTTTACCCTGGGATCTGTGGGGCTTCCTTTGCTCAGGGATGAAGTTAAACATAAAAGTTGACAAACGTAAGCTGCACAGGTGAATTTGCTCTGAGACCTAATCTAACCTGGGGAAGGAGGTACAAATACCCATTCTCCCAGCCAAGCTTTTGGGACATTTTGATATGTGGGAGTGGGGAGCCACAAAGAGACAACTGAGCAGCAGAAGAGAGGAGGGTGGCTGTGAGTGTGATCCACACACAGGTGTACTCTCTAACATGAAGAGAGGGCTGCACAACCCAAGGGAAATCATCCCTGAAGCCAGCCCTGCACTAACCACATACGTAGCACAACGAAACGCTCAAGTGCAGTCTGGGACAGATGGAAACAGACACTCCCCTTGGGCCCACTAGGAACCCCACCCCACACCCTCTTTGGAACACACAGCCCACATCTGGAAGGAAAGAGGGCCTTACTCACTCCCAGAACTCAATGACAGGGGAGGTGACATTCTCAGAGGTCACATTCATGGAGCCATTGGTCTTCTGAAACTCCACACAGTTCTCTACTCACAGGTCCCAGGAAGGAAGAAAGAGAAAGACATCAGCCAACGTTTACCTCAACTGGGAAGGGTAGGGTGTTAGGAGAATGGAAGGGAAACATTGAAAAGGAGCTCAGCTGGTGTCTGTGCAAGGCCTCCTCCCATGTGCACTGACCTTAGCAAACCCACCTCCCCTCCCCACACAAATGTACTATAGGCTGTTTGCATGCATATTCTCACTAAAGCATGATCAGATGGTGTTAGGGAAGATGCTGCACATGCCAACTGCTTCCAAGTAAGCAAACTTTTGCAGGACACTGTCCTGTGAGAAGTCACAACCTTGGGAAACAGTGAAATGCCTTTGAGGAAGTGACGCCGCAGAGTGGCCAAGAGCTCCAGCCCAGGGACAGAGCATTCTGGCTCAGATCCTGACCCTCTGGATACCAGATGTATGGCCTTAGGTAAGTGACCACTTGACATGGTAAGGGTCATTTCACTGATTTCTAAAATGTAGATACAACCATTTATCATGTAGGATTGATAGAGGGTTAAATGGCTTTATGGTTTGTGTCTAGATGTCCCCCAAAGCCTCATGCAGTCATAGATGGGGGCTTTTTCAGAGGTTGCTGGGTCTAGAGTTTGTGATGCTGGGATTAAGGGTGTGTGATTACTATATCAGTCCACTGGCAGGTTTGGCATAGTTTTGGATAGAATTCAGGGTGCCCCACCCTGGGTAAAAAAAATATAAGGGACAGAAAGAGGGCTAGTACTCTCTCGTTGCTCATTGCTGATCGCTTGCTTTTGGTGTCTTCTGCTTGCCATGAACTGTTTCTCCTCTGTGATGCCCCTCTGTCAGGCCACGCTGCCTTGGAGCCAGCCAATTAGGAACTGAAACCTCTATAAATGTGAGCAGAAATAAACCTTCCCTCTTTTAACTTTGGGTATCAGGTATTTTATCTCAGCAATGAGAAAAATAACTAAGGTGGAAACATAAATGTGAAGTTCCCAATAAATGTGGCTCTTCATTATTTATGTGTCACTGTGGAGTGCCACATAGGGTGTTGACATTCTTTTTAATATTTTATCAGCATAATAATCCTGGGAAGTATTAAGATGGATACTGTTTTCTCTATTATACATATGAAAAAAATGAATCTTCTTAGAAATGACTTCTTAAAGCTCATAAATAACAGTACAACCCGGAATCCAGGTCAACAAAGCTGTCTTAGGTTCTACTTCAAAATATCAGACTTGGGGCAGAGGATTTAGCTCAGTGGTTTTGCCGCCTGCTGCGCAAGGACCCGAGTTTGATCCCTGGTACCAAAAAAAAAACCAAACCAAGACTCTGACCTCCATCGCCATGCTGGTGCAGGTCACCATCATCATCTCTCAGCTCCTAACTGGCCTCCAGTTTCTACCCTTGCTTCCTTTGTCAGATCTCTATCTAGCAGCCAGGATGATTTTGTTAAACATTAAATTACTTTATGTCACATCCCATCTCAAACATTCAATGAGATTCCTATCCCAAAACCCCTTTAGCCACCTTCAAGGCCTTATTTGATTCATCCTCCAGTTCCTCCTCCCTCTTCTCTAGCCACACTGGCCTTACTGTTCCCTGGATACTTTCGATCCAAAGCACTTCAGGACTGTAGCACTTGCTGTTTCTCTACTAGAATGTTCATCTCCTCAGTAGCTAGATAAGTTACTGAGTTCTTGTTCCCCCTTCTTGTTCAATCATCTCTCAATAAGACCTTTCCTAAATACCCTATTTAAAATCATACCCCACCACTAAAACTCCCAAACCTCACCCTGTTTTATTTTTCTCCATAGCATTTCTAGCAGAATACATACACGTCTTCTATCATGACACATATTACTCTTCTATTTTGTTCATGTTCTCTCTCAACTGCTAGAATAACAGTTCCAGGAGGGCAGGGATCTTTGTTTTTGTGCATTAACATATCCCCAGTGCTTAGAACACAGCCTGGCAGAGTAGGACCTCATAAACACCTGTTGAAAGGTTGAAGGCCAGTGGAGGGCTCTCTCCACTAAACCATATCACCTTCCTGGAAGAAAACTGTCATTTGATCCTGACAGGACAAGATGGCCTATACTATTCAAGATGCTAGGCTCTGAGCAAAACCAGGCCCACTAGAAGGTGTCAAAAATATCCCAAAGCAAACGATTTAGGCATGCAATTTGCCTCAGAATTGTCTCAAAGACTCCCAACCAATCCAAAGGAGGATAGGCCTAATCCTGACCTAACCCAAAGCTGTAGCCCCAGAGCTTCATCAGATTCATTGGCTACTCTCCTGGGATCTGGATAAAATATTCACTACATGACAAGCTTGTTGTCAAGGGTGATTTAGTGTACATAGTTGTAAACAAACAAACTAAAAAACATATATGAAAAAATATTAGAGTAGAACAGATTTTTAAATCTTTCAACAAACGTTTCTTGAGAGTATATGAGGTAGCTGACACTGTGCTAGACATAAATACAGAGATAAGGAGCCTTTTCTGCTTCAAGATCTTATGAACTTATAGGAAAACCAACTCAATAAATAGACAAAAAGTTCAGTGAGTGCCACCTCAGACCTGTATTGATCCAGGTACAGCCAGGCACACTGGAAAGGAGCCCAGTGTAATCTCTGGATGGGGGCACCACCCAGTTTTGACTCTTTACCTGGCACAGGATGGTGGGATGCAGGTTTCCAGGAAGGGCAAAGCAGAGGATGGAGAGGGAGCAGGAGCCATGGGGGAGGGAACCGTACAGGGAGGGGAAGAGAGGGGTATGGTCAACTCAGAAGGTACAAAGACTAAGCCCTGCAAAAACATTTTCCCTGGCAAGTAAAGGATTCAAAATCTAGTTCAGAACTCAGTAACTTATCTAGCTATTCCTGCTTCAAAACAGTAGGTCTTGTGGACAAGCACCGAAAGATATTTAGACAATGACAGCAAGATGTAGCTATGGGAATCCAAACAGAACAGTGACCAACACGCTTTTCGCCCATGCTATCCTATAGGGTAATCAGGAGTTCATGTGGGTATTTAAATTAAAGTTAAGTAAAAATTTTAAAATTCTGTCCCTCAGATATACTAGCCATATGTCAGGTTGCTCAGTAGCCACTACTCGACATACAGAGAACACAGTCATCCTCATAGACAACGCTTTGGACAGACCCAACCTAGATATTTTTGTTGTCATTACTCTCAGTACATTAGGTTAAATGGCTCTGTTGCTGTCAGTGCCCCACACAGTCTTACAAGCACAGGAGAAGTTAATTGCTGTTATAAATTATACTCATGACATACAAAACAGTTAATTCCCTAGTCAAGCCCAGATAAATTATAAATTTGAAAGACCTAAAATAGTATCAAAAAGAAGACATGAGAAACAAATAAATGAACAAATAATAGGCACATATATCAAACTAGTCATATTTCAAATTGAAATAAAGGGCTAAACTCAATTTTTTAAAAAATTACTTCTATCTGGGGCCAGGGATTTAGCTCAGCGGTTCTGCCGCCTGCCTCACAGGTGCAAGGTCCTGAGTTCAATTCCCAGTACCAAAAAAAAAAAAAAAATCAATTAATTCTCCAATC